TTGAAAAAGTTTTTTTTTTTTTTGTCTTTGAGAAAACTGCATGGATTTTATGGTTTGGCACTGCTCATTTGCGGGTTGCCGAGAACTTTCTAAGCTTTAACCGATCTACCGTCGATAAAACAAGATTCGAGCGATACTTTCAAGCGATTCTCGTAGATCGCGCTCCTTGTACGTATAACATATTTGTCGAAGCTTAAATGATTTCTGATATTAAAACGCGACTATTTGAATTTATCCCGTGAAACGTACCGATTCTTCGTCGAGGGTTACCTTAGGAAAATGCGCGGAACAAAGCCTCGGAATTTGAATTGAATTATTGAATTATTTATTAAGTACCAAGGACTCAGAGGCCCTATATGGCACATGACAATTTCGTTATATACATTACAGGTACATTAGAGCAATAGCGTAACTATTATCCGGAACACAATGAGGTGGTAAATTAAAACGTGAATAATATAAAATAAATAAATAAATAAATAACAATAATACCAACAATCAATGACAACAGATTAGTAAAATCGCATATATAGAACAAGTAGTGTAATATAAAAAGATGTAACAAAAGACAAATAAATAAACAAATAAATAAATAAACAAAAGAACAATTAGATAAAAAAGATAGAACATGTCAAAGCTAAAACGTGATAAATTGAATTGATAAATTAAAATTAAGAGGCGTTTTCGTGTATAAGAAAAGAGAGAGAGAGAGCGATATCTCTGGCTATACGTGTAACAAAGTTGCGAAATCTCCATGGACACAGAGAGAATGATATCGCAATGCTATCGCCCATCCAAGTTAAAGTAAAAGACCAAACGCATGTTCAAATATATACCTACACGGTCGGACCATTTATTTCCGCATCACGATTCGCTTTCTCACGTAAAAACCGCAAAAATCTCTGTTGTGCACACTGGCTCTCGTTTTCAAAAGGAATGGGTATATTCTCGCGTTGTTCGTTGTTGCGCAAATAAAAAACCTCTCCCCCGCTTTCTTTGTCACGTCCACGCAAATATTGGGCATTGATTGAATTTTATCTTACCAAAGATACCACGTTTTGCTGGTAAAGGCTTTTCATCCATACATGTAAGGTGATATTGTTTGGCCAAATAAATAAATTAGTAAATTGTTATTGTTTGAGAAAAAAAATTTTTTTTTTTTAATTCCTCGAGAGTAATCAATTTCAATTGAATTCCCAGTCGCTACAAACATTTTATACAAATTAGATGAAATAGTAAATGAATATTCTGGATAGCAAAAAAAAAGGTATGGAAATTTATTCAAGTAACATGTACTCAATCATAAGCATTGATATAGTTCATTTCCAACGACAAAATATACGAGTGGGTTTTTTTAGCGTTTGGTACGAAAATCTCCATTTCTTGCCATTCTCGATTTCTATCACTCAGCCTTGGTTAGTTGTTTGTGCACATACCTACTACATAAGAGATCAAGGGCAGAAATCATTTACTTTTATGTTTTTTTTTCGCTAAAACTTGTTTTTCTCTGTTTTTAAATAGTATCTGAAAAGAATTATAAATCATTAATTCGTGATGAACTATATCGCGATGTTTTTTCAACATCTTATCATACGTACCTAATACGTCTTGATGTTTAATTATTGTCTCATTTATTCGACTAAAGAAAATAAAATATAGTTTAGTGTTGCTGCAAAAGGTTTTATTGAAGAAAATTTATTCACTTTTATCCCATTAATTTCGCGTCTTTAACCACATGTATTTAACAACGTGTATACATATCTGATTAGATCCTTCGACATAATTCAAAATGATTAAATAAAAAATACGATAAGTAACCGAATTCATTTCTAAATAGCATCATTTATTTTTACTTTATCGAAACATCCACTCTCACGTATGCAATAGGTACTCTTAACTTTGCCGTAATTTTTTTTCCTCCCTTTGAATGTAAGGCAAACCCGACAAAGAGCACTATAGCTCATCAGGTATCTCTTAGCGTTAATGAAAACAATTACGAAACGCATTTCCGCATCGCGCCTTTGGAAAAGCCTCTTCTGGCCGTCACGTACCTCGCTAGTTTTCACTCGCGCTCGGACGCGCATATACATATAAATCACAGACGATATTTCACGGTGACGTCACGCGGTGACGGCTCATTACACAACGCGTGCACTGCACGATGACAAGTGAAATTAACTTTCCCGAGTCGGACGGAGAAAAAAAAACCATGTGTCCTTGTGTACAGGCGGCTTCCGCTGTTTTTTTTTTTTTTTCGTATTCTATGCAGTCTGAAGTAACGCTGGTACCCAGGGTACTCGGCGGCGGCTATATTGACGGATATCGGTAAATTAGTTGACATAATATATTATGGTAGGTTCCATGAAATATAGCTAAAACACATTTTTTCATAAAAAATGGAAATTTGGATTTTAAAATACTTTGTCGTTTCGATTGATCGAGACGAATGAAATGATTGCTTTATTGCAAGTCTTACTGAGTAAAAAATTTTATTAGCCATAACAATGTTTCATTGCATGTACTTTACAAATGCTTCGTTTCGTGACCCCCTGCCTTACGGCAATCAGCAACTGTCGGCTGTTGAGATAATTATTTACATGTTTCTTATCACAGACGAAACACGAGGTGACTTTATTATTACATCGCTGTGATTTGGCATCCGCTTAATCGTAGATAAAAAAAAATATATATATTCATGCTTCGACACTCCTTTGGGGTAACTTTAACTTACAATACAACACACCATTGTAACAAAAAATACAAGTTTTACAACCCACAGTATTTACAATCTTTACAAAAGATAATAATCAACATCATTATTATTATTATTCCTTACTTCAACCACTGTAGTAATCGATTTACTCAGCACCTTGATAAATGGCACTTGTATTGGATACACGATACTTGGAATCATTTAATCTATAGTGAAAAAAAAAAAAAAAGAAAAATTATTTTAGAACATTCGAGAGGTACAAGTAAATTGAAATTCATCAGAAAATTTTGTGCTAAGCCAGTGGTTGGTTTAACACTGGTTTTTCGATGTCTCTCTGACTCTGTTATCGTCGTGCAATAATGTAGTGAACGTTTTACTCGAAGAAAAATGAAAGGTAAATTCCACCGAACTTAAGGCCACACGTAAGTGAACGTCGTCTTTGACCAGATGAGAATAAATGTATGTTTAATCATCGCTTTCGCAATGCAACTTCTTTTCGGTAATAGTTTTGAAACGAAAAAAAAAAAAAAAGAGCAAGACCAATGTTGCGGTAACGTATCACAGTATTTTTTTCTTTGTATTGATGTCATACTTTACCGATACGCCGCAACAACATTTTTCTTCGTCGATTCAACGGATGATTGAATATTTTTAGTAATCAACTATTGGTGTATCTTTGAAAACGTGTGATCCTGTCGTACATTTTTTTACTACGTCTGTTTAATTAACGTTCAATAGGAACTACCTCCAACGTCAGTCCATGCTTTGACAATAATTAAATCACTTTACACCTAATGCATGCACACGTCCCTTCAAACCCACATAAATAGTACTAACGAAAAATCCCTCATGCCCACGCAAAGTGTCGCATGAAAACCGGGAATAGGAAAAAAAACCACATGGTCTTACTGTACCATTTGAATTGAAAAACTGATTTTGACTGGAAAAAAAACACATACACACACACAACAGCAATTCCTACCCTTGTCCCATTAAACAATAATAGTTGATTCAAAGCGCGCACCCGAAGATTCACGCCACACCAAACGTCGTTGCGTTTCCTCTGTACAGCGTCCTCTTGTTCCTCTGTCTGTTCCACGTGTCCTTGATCATGTCCGACCCCTTCTCCGCGATCATAATGACGGGAGCGTTGATGTTGCCGTTCGTTATGGTGGGCATGATCGAGGCGTCGATCACCCTCAGGCCCTTGACCCCGTAGACCCTCAACTGGGGATCAACGACGGCCATGGGATCGTTGGGTGGGCCCATTTTCGCGGTACCACACATGTGGTAGATGGTCATCGTGTACTGCCTAATGGCGCAATTCCAGTACTCGTCCGTGAAGTGGGGCAGGTGCTTGCAATTGGGGAGCTTCTTGCTGTGGTACCTCGCCCCGAACTTCCTCATCGTCGCCGTCTCCCCGAACTTAATGGCCGCCTTGACCCCCTCGCGCAGCACGTCCACGTCGTCCGGGTGGGTCAGGTAGTTGTGGTAGAGCAGTGGATACTCCAGCGGATCGCTGGACCGCAGCTTGAGGTAACCCCGAGACTTGGGCCGCAGCATCATCGGGAAGACCCCGAAGACGTCGCGGTTGTTGATCGAGCCGAACACCTCGTTGTAGAACTCGTCGGTCAGCCCGTGGGCGCGCTTGGCCTGGCTACCACCGTCCGAGGGCGTCGACGAGCTCGTTATCATGAACTCGATGTCCGGCCAGTCGTCCGTCTGGTTTCCGTACTTGGTCGTGATGAATCCCACCGCTTCCAGTCCTATGCTCGACGTCAGCGGCCCGTCCTCGGTCACGGCGTACCTTGTTTGCCGACGACAACAACGACAACGTTATATACACTTTGCCAATAACATTTGTGTCTTATGACAAATAAACAAACAACTATCCAAACCTGAGGGCCGAGTTGATGTTGACCAGCCGGTTCATGACGATGCTGATGGGGTAGTCGATGAGGAAGGTGATCCCACCCACGGCGATGTGGTCCTGGAGATTCTGCCCGACGCCGGGCGAGTCGTAGAGGACGGGCACTCCGGTCTCCCGGAGGTGCCAGGCTGGTCCGATGCCCGATAGCATGAGGAGCTGGGGCGAGTTGATGGCCCCGGCCGCGAGTATGACCTCCTTGCGGGCGTAGACGACCTCGCGCCTGCCTTTGCGGATGAACTCGACGCCGTAGGCGCGCTTCGTGTGGGGGTCTATGAGGAGGCGGGTCACGTGGCTCCAGAGGGACAGGTGGAAGTTGGCTCGGCGGCTGATGGGCCGGACGAAGGCCTTAGCGGTGCTGCACCGGGTTCCACGGCGCATCGTGAACTGGTACAAGGCGAAGCCCGTCTGTTGGGCCCCGTTCACGTCGACTATGTCGTAGCCGAGCTCTTGGCCGGCTTGCAGGAACGCCGGACCCAGTGGCGTGTTGTACGGGGCGTCCTGGATCGTCAAGTACCCACCTTTTGCCAAAACCAATACAATACACGCGATTATACAATGGCTTGGCTCCCGTACGTTTGTATGTATACAGAAGAATTATCATCGACACATTCCGTTCGGTGTTCTTTGGACCCTGGGCTTGGGATTGAGGACTACCTCTATTTACTGCGTTTCTAAAGACAATCGGCTTTTACCATACCGATCGCCTTTCCTCCAAGTGCGCGCAAGTGCGGACAAACGCATGCAAGTAATTGTGACGAAACAGGTGGTATATATGTATAATATATTTTATGGAATCGGCGATTTGTTGAGAGGCACGTGTGGCCATGTGTACGGGATCACGTGCAACGCGGCGTTAATCCCTACAGTAATGAAAGTACCTATATACTTATAAAGTCGCGGTGGGGCAGCGATGCGAGAACGGAGATAAAGTGTGTATATATATATATATATATATATATATATATATATATACACACGTGAAGCCGATCGCCGTCTTTGCTCGTACAACCGGTTTATCGGCATTCGGCTGCTTACACATTATACGTATATAATGTGCGATTGCGAGTGTGCGTTTTTAATTGTATTTGTATGCCGGCGTGACATAATTTGACCTAGTGAACGAGAGCGGGTTTTCCGAGTGTCTAGGTGGTTGCGCCAATCTCTGGTATACGTGTATACAGGGAGTTCGCGCTGTTTAGAGGGTATTGCCAAACCGAGGCAGCCATGAAATTTTACAAACTTTGTGGGGAGCGGTGCATTGATTTGGATTAATGGGAAATCGTTGGGCGCGAGCGCGTTGGTTTATACCGGTCGAGAATTTTCTTGATGGGGGGGGGGGGAGGCTATTGGACGTTTGAGAGCCGCACTGTCAAAACGAGTGCGAAACGATAGGTGTGCGTTTTAATGGGTATTTTTGTTGGCTCGACGGGTGCGATTTTAGCGCGTGGAAAAACTTGAGTTAATCGGCTTTGCGTTGGATTTTCGTCGTTTTTTTGTAATCGGAAAATTAAAGTATTTGTACGTTATACAATTGGGCATTTTTGATAGAAACTCTGAAAAAAAGGAGAGACGGTGAAAAAAAGGTTCTACGTCCGGTCCTCCTATACACGATGCATCAAAGGAAAAACGAGCATCGATGCCGAGCTGTTCGAACAACGTTTGACGAAACTCGGTGTCACGCTTTCACTGGGTTACATATGAAATATCGAGCTTTTGAAAGATGCTAATCCCCGTACCGAAAATACGTACATCCAAGAAAAGATTTTCGTAGGATTTTTCCCGTTTTGTCGTAGTCAAGTTACGAAATTAATTCGATAAACGTGAGCCGTTTATCGTTTCACAAGCCGTGGTTTCCCCAAATTTCGAAGGATGCAATAAAATGAGAGACACGTTGAGAAATAGCCACCACATATTATATACATGTCCCCCGTAGTTGGATTACACATGGTATACATAAGATGATGCAAGTCATTTGATTTTTCTAAAAACACGAAAAAGGTAAAAATTCCGAGGCTATACTTACGGTTTCCGAAAAAAAATATAATGCAGCCATTTAGATTACTTTTTTTTTTGCCCAAAGCTACGTGTATACGCGTTGGAAAAAAAAAAATTCACAGTTCGTACTGTATTATTCGAGGACGATCTCGCGCGTAGATTCCCAAAGGAAAAAATGTGTCGGCGGTGTGTTTTCGCGTCTCCGATCCTTGAAAATGACACGCATGACGAGGCGATTTTTATTTATTTATTTATTTATTGATTTGAATTGGGAAAAACATATTTTTCAATCGGCCCGAGGTTAACCAGCAGCGACGGGCGCATCCGATTCCAAATAGACGAAGCTAGAAAATCCGATCCGATAGATCGCCACCTCGATTTTACATCAATTATTGATGAACGGCCAAAGGCCACATCCGCCCAAATTTGCGTAATCGAGCAGAATGTCCCAGACGTGTCAACAATCCACGGTTGTGTACACAATATTTGACACGAGGAGGAAGAGCAAAAAAGCAGTTGCTAACCTGTCTTGTGGTACTTTTCATTTCTGGCCAAGTACGGATTGCGCTGGTCCTCGGACTTTTTGAAATAGTGGAGGGCCTGCTCGTAGCCCCAGCCTTTGTTGCCGAGGGCCTCCCACTGGTCAAAGTCGCGCCTATTGCCTCTTATGTACAGCATCGTGTTCAGGACGCTCGAGCCGCCAATGACCTGCAAAAATACGCCACATTACACATGACGATAGATCGAGAAATGGCTTTGCGCGAGCGGGTAACACTGACCACATCGCGAGCAACCCGATTCGGGATTACAAAATTTCCCAAAGATATATATGTTTACCCACTGAAAGTTCAGTTGGCGCACCGCGGGTATTTCATAGTTCGCGCGCACAAGTGCCTTTTTCTTTTTGCGAACCCTCTCGTTTTCGCGCGTATATCCGCGCAATCGCACCCAACACATCCGAGCCACGCGCTTGAGCGTACAACCCTCCATACTTGGAGCACAGCGTAAACACGGTAAGTATACCGTACCTACACGATCTGCTGTTTCCAAAATTATTTTTATCCGCCCGTAATACCCTGTGTGAAGTAACGCAACAATTTAGCTGGCGATCGCTTTGATCACGGCACATTACAAGATTTAAAAAAAAAAGACTTCGGAAATTCAATTGGTCGATCCACGGTATGGGTACGAAAAAAGTGAATTCGGCTGTTTCGAAGTACAAGTTAATTATTGGCGAGCACCTTGATTTATTATCGTCTGTGCTCTTCGAGCGCCTCTTTTCGAATTACGACATTAGAAGGGGCAAGGGTAGGGGCTACACGGGCACCCGAGCGCATCGCGTGTCTTATACGCCAAAAGTTTCCGCTCGAACGATTGTGTATGATAGTACATCCAAGCGCATGTATACGCGCCGTCGAATTTTGCTTTCACTCTGACCTGGTTTCGCACTATATTTATACATATCGTAAACGCACCGGGCGCGAGTCAGCCGGTCGCACTTGACACTCGTACTTGTACATAGAGACTGGAAAAACTGCAGCAAAGTGCGTGCAATTACATATACTATACGTATACTGGAATTACTTTGGTTTTTTTTTTTTTTTTTCTCATCAAAGTTCAATTTTGTTTTTTTGTACCTCGCTATCGCGTCATATGGTGTTGTTTTCATGATGCAAGATCTTTCGAATTGCTTCAACGGTTATTTTCGCTGCTGTGCTTATACATTGAGGTTTATTGTTAGAGAGTGTAATGGGATATTTCGATGGCGCGAAATGGGTGCTTGAGTGCAAATTTAATATAAAGGCCCAAAACGGTCTTGTGAGAGCTTTTCTAAATTAATAGTTTAAAAAAAAGAAAAGAAAAATGGTACACCAAAGAAACCAATCAAATTACCATTGAAACTATAAAATCGTGTATTATATTAGGGCGTGTCCCAATTACCGTGGGTATACAGGTGTGATGCAATGTTATGTAACCCACGGGTGTCTACATTACTCGCGTCCATCTCCCCCTCCTCTCTCGATTGAGCTTCATTTATAACAGAAAACTGACCTCACCGTTGGCCGTCCCCTCTACCCGCGCGGTATACACGCATACCTAATGTAAAATATTCCGGACGTCAAAATAAAAATCAGAGGAAACGGATACGCATCAATTATCGCTTTTTCTTTTAATTGCAGCCAACGGTTATATCTAATAAATTTCTTTTTATATGTTCGTCATACGTCGAGTGGTCACGGGAACGTTGTAAATCGTATTTTAACAGTTACCCGTTTGATTTTATTTATTTATTTTTTTATTTTTATTAAAACACGATGTGCGAACAGTGTCTCATAGATAATCATTTCAGGAGGAGCTGCGCATTTTTTCACTCATCAAATAAGACCGGAATAGTCTTGAATATACTATAAAGTCACACAAAGACTTTTGTCTTTTTGATTAAGACTTTGTGCGCAGCCCCTGGAAATTTTTTCGTTTCAATCTGCCACAAATGCAACTTAACAGCTAATACAACAGGACAGTCCGGCGGTGCCTGAAGTGCTAATTTAGAAAGAGTGAATATTGAGTGCCGGTTGAGAAGCAGAAAGCGGCAAAAAAAAAAAAAAAAAAAAAAAAAAGGAAAGAGAAGAGACAAAACGGGCCAACAACAATAAGACATTACAGGAGGGTAGCCGCGGTGGGTTTTTACAGTCTCCAAGAGGCTGCATCATTAATTATAAGTATACCCGGTATGGAGCGCTAAAAGCTTGATTTTTTTCTTTCTTTGTTATTGCCATTCGAACCGCCTCTTCGTCCCACCGCTGTCGAAAGGCTTATTTTTGAAAAATATATCTACACGCGCGTTAGAAGAATCAGGCCATTGTTTCGGTGTTACCGCGAGCGCAAGGAAACAAACATCGCGAATGGAATGTAATTTTTTCCGCCAGCCCGGGACGGAGGAGTATACATTATACTCGGAGGTCTCAAGGACACGAGCGATGCTCTTTCACGCTTTCGCTATTTTTGCGGTGTCCCATATAACGCGGGATCGGTTTCGTTTGCTCGACCGCGTGCTATTTTTGGACACACATTTTTTGTTTTTTTTTTTCCCTCCCCCAAAAGAGCCCTCATTTAGTTCGATCTACGGCGGTAAGAAAAAAAAAAAAAAGGCCCACCTTGCCCCGCGTCCAGCAGCAGCGCTTGTCCTCCATGGCCTGGCAAGCCGAGTCCTGGGGCTGGGTCCTGTACTTCCAGTCGAGTTTGCTCTTGTGCAGGTAGAGCGAGAGTATCGGCACGTCGGTGATCTCGGTCTCGTGACCCCCGGCCTCCAGCAGCAGGAGCGACCACTCCGGGTTCTCGGTGAGCCGGTTGGCCACCACCGCCCCGGCCGAGCCTGCCCCGACCACGATAAAGTCGTACTGCTTCTTGAGGTCGCGCTGCACGCGCGGGTGGTTCTCCGGATCCATGAGGTCGTAGTGGAAGTAAGCCAGGCCCACTATCAGGGCGGGCACGATGGCGAAGATCTTCCCGATGCCCAGGAGGACGCTCGCGGCCTTTATGGCGCCCACCACCGCCCCCGGCAGCAGCACCATGATTTACCAACCTGGCCCGGCGCTGCTGGTGCTACTCGTCGATCCCTCCACCTAGGGATGATTTATGATGATGATGATGATTGCCGGTCTCTGTTGTCGTTGGGACATCGGGAGCTTGGTTTTTGTGTCCGCGATCACTGGTGACGATCGTACCTGCAAAGAGAGTGTTTTTTTTTTTTTTTTTTTTTGGTTCGCATCATGAGTCAGAAAGGATGTCGTCGCTTTCGACTGGTGCGCGATTGCGTCAGGCTGCGATTTAATCCTATTCTGTAGCGGCTCACGTTGACGAGCAACGATTCATTCATGTCTAAGATTTATTTTTCCCCAAAACATGTGAAAAATCCCTTCTCTGTCTCTGTGTATGCCTACATGAGCAATTTTTTTTTTTTTTTTTTAATCTGGACTGCCTCTCTCATACGCGTTTATCTCCTTATTATTGAGGGAAGAGAGGCACAAAACACAAGCGAGTGTATAATAGGTATACTCTTTCTCTCTTTGTACTAACGCGTGCATTCGTCACCGGCTATTTTTTCTAATTCTATTCATGCCGACTTTTTTTTTTTTTTCCTTGCTCGCTGTTATACTTCGTTCAATAGATCCGCCACTCTGCCGTACTCGTCCGTTTTCGCTCTTTAAATACGTTCACCTTCCCTGATGATGATGATGATGATGAATCGTATTCAATAGATCAATAGATCTCTCGCATCTCGATTACTACGATAAAATTGGCACGGCTGTAATTTATATATACATACATATATATATTTTTCACGAGGTAAAAGCGATCGCATGCTAATGACATCTAAATCCGTCGGTGGTCATCCGTCGTATGTATATACATGTAGTGCCTGTACACGTATTTTCGCGCGTCTCGCGTTGAAAGTGAAATTCAAAGGTGACGCTTTAACTTCGGGAGTTAACTTGACGCCCCGGTTGGGTAATCTAAATTGAATTCGAATCGACGACGCATCGATGAAAGGTGGTGCGATAGCTTAGCTTACACGATGATGACAACGATGACGGTGGAATTACTGTGGTGTTAGGGCGCGGTGTTTTGTTTGATATGGTGTACAAAAGTAGCCCGAGGCGATCTTCGAGGCCGAAAATCTTGATATTTCTTGTACTAATTCATCAAAACACCAGATTTTGCACTGACTCGTGTGAAAATGAAAAAAAAAAAGAAAAAAAAAGTGCGGAATAATTGTTCACGGTTTCTCGCTCGGTGCACGTTTTATCGATGCTATCGCGTTACGCGAGATGGATAACAATCGGACTGCCTCATGTGCGGTAAACGTGGTCGATTAAACTTGGCGAAAGTTTTCGATGAAAATGCAAAGCAGGTGATTTTCCTGATTTTTCCAGCATCAATACCGTTTGTACGAACAAACGCCCATCCGTGGCGAGGCGTGAGCGTAAAAGTGCTCGTAATTAGCACATTTCTATTTTCTCGATGCGGACTCTCAAATGATAGGCCAATGCTTGACGAAGAGCGTATAGGTGAGAAAAGAGTAAAAGTCCGCCTAGTACAGATGGGGAAAACAAGCGTCCGCCGTGCCGCGATTATAAAGACGCGGCTCTAATACGTTTCAAAGTAGTGTTATAATTTATGACTCGATCGCGATGATTTTCTCTTTGACGCAACAGTGGTCCCCGCGCATCTGCAGTTCCTCACGATGCAACGGCACAATAATATCTCTACATTATGTTTACATGTGATTGTTGTAACGAACCACGTCTCAAGTATAAATGAAAATTTTAACGAAAAAACTGTAAAAATCCACAAAAAAAAAGTTTATAAAATTGTACATTTACGCGAATACTTACGAGACGCGCATCATTGCCGTGTAGTCCCAGCCACTAAGAACAGCACAGCACATAAATGTACACTTGTATACACGCACGCGCGCACAAAAATGTAGAGAAAAAAAACGAAAAAAAAAAAAAAGAGGAGAGACGCGAGTCGCGGACTAGACGCGCCGGAGAAGACGAGTGCAGTCCGCACAAAAGCACGTGGGATATGAGGCGGCTGCTGTGCGGCCGCCAAGGAGAAAGCGAAAGACTGCGACTTCGGACGCGAGGCCCTGAACGTATAAAGTGTACGTACGTGCGTTTGGGTGCCTCCACCACCACCGCCACCACCACCAAACCACCGGGATCGACCTCCTCCTCCTCCTTTTTTCCCACTTGGTGTGTAATGTTTTTTAAAAACCAAACCCATCAGCTTTTTTTTTAGGGGGGGGGGGGCCCGCACAGAAATGACTCTCCCTTTTCAATGTACGGGTGTGTCCGATAACGCGGTTTATGCTATACTTTTGCCAAAGAGCGGACTTTAAATTGACAAGGATGCGAGGGGATTCCCGTTTGGACTACTTTTTTCCCTACATGCAAAAACTGCAGGGAAGAATACTTGCGTGGTCTTATTAATGTGTACATATTCGTGCAAGCTTTGGCGGCTCCTTTTTGCCGCTGGTCTGAGATATTGGCACGTATTTTTTGGGAACGGCGAATTAATCATCCGCAACACTGTGGTAAAACCATTTTTTTTTTTTTTTCGGAGGCAAGCGTTTAGAGAAGGCCATTGGTTTTTCAATCGCCCGCAAGGCCTGCAGTGAAATTTTTCTGGACCTATATCCTTGCGCTGGTGTTGGGTACCCGTGACTTGGTGCACGTAGCCTCATCTCGTCCGTTTCGAGATTGACTTACTGGTTTTATATTTCGAGCGATTGTAAAAAAAACACAAAAAATGTTCATCCTTGAGATTCGGGGCTCTCGATCGTATACTCTCTCGTCCTTCATCGAAATCTTTTGCTCCTGTTGGGCACGCACACTTGCACGCTCGGAGGTAAAAAAAAAAAAATAAATAAATAAATAAATACATCTCGCTTCCCGTGCATGCAAGTTACGAAAGCGCGTCGACTAAATCGACGATGTGTCTTCTTTCGTGACGGGATATAATATTCAAGATTTGATGATAACATCTTCTAGGGTGTGCGCATCGGTTCTCGTAAAAACACTTTCCTCATGACGAAAGCGATCAGAAATATATATGTGTGCTCTCTTAATTTTTTCGTTTTCTTGCGTTTGCTCGTACGTATATAAAAACCATTCGAGCTGTAGTATACGCATTATTGGCTTGACTGTGGTAAGTTATAAGTTTACCCATTCATGCGAGTAAAAGCATGTGTACCATTTTGGCTTGAATACCATCTGTCAAAAAAATGTTACTCAGAGATAAAAAAGAAAAAAAAAGCTTTTTCTTGCTGCATTTGTATGTGCAATAACATAATTAGATTAGAGTGTAAAAATGTTACAGTTGATTATTCATTTTGATGAAAGTATTTTTAGTTTATTGAATTGAAAAAAAAAAAAAAAAAAAAAAAACACCTATTGAAACGAATACAAGTTCTCAGATTACGTGTCGATTAAGATTTGAATGGGTGTACCGTGTTTCGGTATATAATCGTTAAATCTCGGAAACTCATTAATATACATTCCTCATGAATTACATTATACACACAATATTCTTTCTTTTGAACGAAAATAATACACATTACCTCACACGAGCTCACCATTCGTATTTTGGTAGCTACGTGCCACTCGAGAGCCTATGCCCATTATGGGCCAAATTACCCAATCACCATATAGGTAGCTCTTGTTTCCCAATGCGCTATTTCAAGTATACATATTATTACGATTACAAATGGTTGGGATACCAAAATCATTAATCAAATCAATCTATTGTCTGTTACAGGTCAGTTTAACAATTTGGACATTGCACGAGAGAGTTTTACATACAGCGTCTTCCGTTGCGTAAGTTGCGTGTAAAAAAAGAGACACATGTTAATAATTGAACGGTGTAAGCGTTAATGATGCCTTGCGACCACAGCTCCTATAATTTTTGTTTCGTCACGTCAAAACGGAATTACTATGTGATGTTACCATCAATGAAAAAAACAAACCCACTTTTTATCGCAAGAAAACATTATCCTTTCTCTCTAATAATTAGCCATTATTGTGTATAAGTGTACATCAATTGGAATCCGTTTAAGATTATAATATCAGTCGGTGAGTATAGGAAAGAGAAGACTGCTCTACATATTTGTAACAGTTTTTTTTTTTCTACCTTCAAGTATGAACCATTACCAAGTTTTTTTTTTTTTTTTACTATATTTACAGAAACATTTTAATTTCACTCTCTTGAGGCATTATTAAAATTTCATGCGTTTCAGTTTAATCTCATGCACCTATACGTTGATGTAACCTTAGCGCACGTATGTGTTTATAGCGTAAAATTACGCGCCACGCGTCGAGGTTCATTACTCTCATAATTCTACCTTGCAGAACTCATGGTTAACAAAAAAAAAAAAAAAAAAACTCGTCTATGCACGCAATTCTTTACTTTCTTTTGTACCACTAACGATCGAGAAGCAAGATTAAAATTCCCGTATAGTTTACGCTCGTGTTTCAACAGAGCCGTTTGGACCATAGTTGTCACGTTGTGGAGACACAGCTTCAAAAAAAAAAATACATTGTGTACCAACAGTTTCGGTGATAACTCAATACTTTGTTAAACAAGTTGTAGAGAAAAATTTTCATGGGCTTTTATTTCGTTAAGTGAGTTTGTTTCGTTCTGAAAAAAAATTATTTAAAACCAATGAATATTGTTTCTAATTATCATCATGGTCAATGGTTACTCAAAATATTTTTTTTTGAATCTACAGTGATCAAGTTGTTTGACAACCAGACAGTTCGTAGTCATACGTGTTAGTTTATAGAGCATGTAGTATAAAAATGACTGCACCAGTACTATAATCTCAAAGAGAATTCGATTGCAGTAAGTAATCAGTTCGCAGAAAATATGATGCTGTTGGTGCTTTGCTGATGAAACGACGCGTCCCGTGAAACTAATTTTCACTGACCTCCGCACGCATCTACTTTTTTTTTGCCTCGATCCGTGCCCTTTTCTTCATTTCTGCAAATTAGAAAAAAAAAAAAAAAAAAAAAAAAAAATTACTANGATTAAAAAAAAAAAAAAAAAATAAAAAAAAAAACACATGTGCATCAAAGCAAGCGTACTCACATTTACAGAGGCAAGGACAAAAAACCAAAAATGTTATTGGTGCAGAAATTGGAAATACATGCGAAGACGATTAATAAACCACACATTGATCCCCACAAAGCATTTGTACATAAAAAAAAACACATGTGCAGTTGAACTCTTGCGCACATGTTCTATAGCTCCTTAATGCCTCCTCACAGCTTGCGAAATTTGCCTTTAATTTAATGCGGTTTTACGCGTTTCCACGCCAACTTAACTTTGTCCACCTAATGGATTTTCTTCACATCCAAAGCCTATCATTGAAGGTACTTGTGTTGATTTTTTTTCTTCCTCAACCTCATTTCTGTCGTACAGTTTAGTGATGATAATGTAAAATTTGTGAGATAAAATAAAAAACCGGTAATGAGGCAGAATCGATTTGTGATCGTGAACCGAACTGAATTGAGGTTTATGGGGTAACTATTATGAAAAAGTTTCGAAACCGAGATGTGTATACGTACGGTGCTGCGTGAATTCTCGAACGTGCCAATGTGCTGGTGAATTTGGAAATCACATGTATAAATGCCGAAACCGGAATCACGTGGATTCTATTGTGTCGTAAAGTTTAAAAATAGTTTCCATTAGCCTAAAAACGTGTCTTGCAAGGCGGACTTTTCGTGCGTTTGATTTTATTGTGTCTGCCGAAAGAGTGTTATTAATATTGCCTAGTGGGACTCGTAGCTTTGGGTACGGATTGGTTTTTTTAATTAAATTTATCGTTGAATACTTGATTTGTAGAAAATTATTAAAATGTAACGTTAATGCTATTGAAGAAAATTTTTGTAATAAAAACAAAATTGATTAAAAATGTGGTCACTAATTATTAAATATCGGGTAGCTCCGGAAACAAAAATACATATGTTTGTAAACGAATTATAGGGCAGACTTTACTTTATTATTATTATTCTTTTTTTTTTTTTTTTTTCATTTCCTTTTCTAATAAAAAAAAATCCAAGATAAGAATGTCATTGCCAATTTTTCGCAGCCTGAAAATTCCTATTTGTATGCTACGAGCAACTAGTCGATTTCCGTGTACGGGACTCAGTGAGAGCGAGTCGCTGGCGTCGAAATACCACCTGATAGACAATACACACGCAGTGGCAAGTAAAATTTATACCTACGAGATCGCAATACCAAGTGTCACGCTACTACGGACATTACTGACGACGAATCGTTGCGAAAATCCTTGGTCGAATGGAGGAAGTTTTTTTTTTTTTTTTTTTTTACAGTAATTTTTAGATTCACCAAAAGAAGTTAGGTTTTTCAAAGCCATTAACAAACCTGTCATGAATTATTATGTTAGATTTTGGCTTTTCGGGCAAATCAGTTTGATACAAGTTATGATTGTAAAAAATTTTACTCGTCAAAAACATCATTGAAAACTTCTTTTATTTAATTAAAGTTAATGCAAATCACAAGAGTATAGGTATAATAAGTTTGTTCGAAAGCCAATTGTGTTGTAAACAATAGAAGAAAAAAAAACCCCCCAGTCGAACGGTAGAATTTCAAATTGACATTGGCTGATAAACGCGTAAAAAATTGTTCAAGAGAATCTCATTTTGTTGACCACCATCTGATAAAGCAGTAAATTCTCGTCGTGGATGTCCTGCAAAATCCTCTGCAGTGGTGCGCATACTCTCAAGATTACTTGGCTGCCTATTCCCAGGCGCTCTCCCTCCCACCCCGAGAATCCTTATAATCTAACGTTTCACTTGTGACTACAATAATCAAGTGACTGAACCATTTATCTACGCTTACAACTACAACGTCATCGAGCACGGCTAATCGCCAAAAATTATATTCATTTCGGATAACACCCGAAAGGAAAAAAAAAAAGGAAGCCCACTGCATGTGCTGTACGACGCCTCTCAATATTTCAGAGGCAAGCCAGTTGCACTATATAGAGGGAACAAAGAGAAAGGAAAGCCCGCAAGCTCCTCCGGCTTTTGTGTCTCCGGGGACTTTTTCGCAGCTCGACTGGCTCGCGAAATTCCCATCGCGACTCTGGGAGCCTGGCGAGAAGAAGCTCCCAGGCAAGCCTCTCCGTGCCCCAAGCTGTTAAAAGCCACCTGTATAGCTCTCCCTTTTTTTTCACCTCGACACACAGAGCCCCCGATGCGCTGGGCTCTCTGTTTTTTTTTCTCTGCTCGTTCGATTTTTTACGCGTACACCTAGGACAAAGTTATCGATTATTTCCTTCCGGATGTTTTTTTTTTTTTCCCCTCCTATCTTCTTGTCGCGCGTGCGTCAATGTCAATGGGTATACACGTGTACGTGCGTGCATCTATATTTAAAAACCAAGCCGGCGATTTAATCTCCAAAATTACCGGCTATAGCCGGCGTCCTCCGGACAAATAGACGCGCATACGTGTACACGTCGACTACAATTGAGAAATGAATCATTTATCCTCCGACCGCTGCTTTTTTTCTGTATGAAACAGCATAAAGTAAGCACATATTTTAACCCAAGTAGGCATACGTGTCTAGGTTTATTTTTTTAATTTTTTTATATTCAGTCACACGCTCGTTTACCACGGATACATTAGCGTCCCTCCACTTAATATTTATGTCCCTCGCGCGTGTTGTACGGGCGCGCGCCGAGTTTCATTACCTCTGTATATTATATATATATATATATATATATATATATACATCCAGGCGTGGTCACGAAACCGTTTCTATACTTGTACGGTATGCACACCTACCTCGTGCACGTATATGTATACCTATACGTGTACCGTTCACTTTTGCCCCGCACGCGACACAAGGAGAACAAAAAAAAAAAAAAAAAAAGCGCTACGAGTGTGTTTTAGCGCTCACGGTACAGTAACAGTGTAGCCCTTTTATATACTCCCCGCGTTATTTTACGATTGATCAGAGGATAAGTGTTTCAATGTAAGTGTGTACGGACGAGGGAAAGTGTTTTTCGCGCTCGAGCTATATACAGTATTTAATCGCGCATGTACGAAGGATGGCTTCGAAATCGGTAATAAAGGAAGGTCTCGCCGTACAATTGTCCATAGCTTTTCTACAAATAACCGATTATTGAATTTGAATTTGGATTTCTTACGTTAAATAAATTACTCGTTCCTGCTGCTGGATTTTTTCTTTCTTTCTTTTTATAAAAAAATACAGTTACAGTTACCTCGCCTATTACATCCAAAGTTTAATCATTCCTATTGGCTTTACATATATATATAAATGCGAGGGGATAATACATCGACAATCCATGTGGATCGGTACAATTGGCTGTACATCGTCACGCGATCGGCAAAGTCTCTCTTTTTCAACTCTTTATGCGAAAACGCACGGCACCCTCGTTTGTCATCGCCGTCCAAAGAGCACCCCAGGATCTTGTCCCTCGCGGAGCCAGTCCTCCTTGATCATGTCGCTCGCCTTCTCGCCGATCATGATGGTCGGGGCGTTGGTGTTCCCCCTCACGACGAAGGGCATGATGGACGCGTCGGCGACCCTCAAACCTTTGACCCCGTGTACCCTGAGTCTCGGGTCGACCACTGCGGTGGGATCACCCCTCGGGCCCATCTTGCAGGTGCACGAGGGGTGATACAGGGTGGTCGTGTACTCGGTGAGGACGCAGCGCCAGTAGTCGTCGCTGTCGAATCGGTAGGTAACGCACGAGGGCAGCGGCACGTCCAGCAACCGTAGTCCGTTGTCCCTGAAGGCTCGGGTGCCCAACAGCTCCTCGAATATCCGGATGCCGGCCAGCATGGCCTCGAGATCCGGCTCGGCGCCGTAGTAGTTAGGATCGATGATCGGCGCCCCAAAGACCGGGTCGGTCCGGTTCAGTCTCACGGTGCCTCGGCTACGGGGCGCCAGGAGCACCGGCCTCACGTTCAGCCCGTCGTAGTAGGCCAGCGGCATCACGGCCGTCTCCACGGATTCGGTCGGGTCGGCCAAGTAGTCGCCCACGCTCGTACCATCGAAGCAGTACTTTACCAACATTTGCATGGCCGCGTTACAAACGAGTCTTACAAACTTTGAAAATCATCGTGATCGTTGGGATGTTATTACCTGCATGTCCGGCTGGTCGGGGCTGGTCTCGAAGGGCGTCTGGACAAAGGCACCCGCGCCGAGGGAGCCGTGAGCCGACAGAGGCCCGGTCTGGCTGTGCAGCCACCTGACGCAACCAAAGATCAAAACCAGCGTCATTTATCGTGTCAAAGTGTACAACATGTAGGTCTTACTCGTAGGCGTCGCGTTTGATGGCCTCGGGGTTCTTGCTGGTGGCGGTGGCGTTGGACAGTTGGACGATCAGCCCGTCCGTGGTCACGTGGTCCTGGAGGTTACGACCCACCGGTAGGTCCTGCACGAGTTGGATGCCGTGGCCGTGGAGCCACTCGGCTGGCCCTACCCCGGACAGTTGGAGCAGCTTCGGGGAGTCGATGGCCCCGGCGCTGACGATGACCTCCCTACGGGCGCGGGCCACCTGGAATCGATCTTTGTCATTCGCGTGGCTCGGTATGTATATACCAATGGGAAATGCGCGTATGGTTTATTTTATACCTTGGTGGTGGCGCTGCGAGTGCTGTAGTACTCGACGCCGTGGGTGACTTTGGTCGTGGGGTCGATGAGGACGCGCGTGGCTTGGGCTTGGGTCTGTATCGTGAGGTTCGGGCGTTTGTCCCGGATGGTGCGGATGAAGGCGGCGTTGGTGCTCATGCGGGCGCCCCGGAAGGCCGTCGATTGGTAGTGGACGGTGCCTAGCTGCGTCGCGGCGTTCGGGTCGACGAATCTGTAGCCGGCCTCCTCGAAGCCATTTATCACTACCCGCACGTTCGGGTCCATGTATTTGAACCATTCGACCGTCTGGTAGCCGTGCTGGCTGTGGTATTTTCGGTTCTTGTGTACCACCTGACCCAACGCGATACATCATTCTTTATTCGTATGTATATGTGGATCGGGAGTGTACAAATATCGTAGGGATAAACAAAAAATCGAAACAATAATATGGTAGGCAGGTGTCATTACAGACCTATTATAACTAGAAATTTTTTTTTTTATTTACATTAGTGATGGCAACGTGAAAAATGGAACTCACTTCGGGATCAAGATTGGCCTCGGACTTTTTAAAGTACGGCAGCACCTCGTCGTAGCTCCAGCCCTCGTTACCCATGCGAGCCCACGCATTGTAATCCTCCATGTTCGCGCGAATGTACATCATGTAATTCAACACGCTTGATCCGCCCATCACCTGCACACGCCATGACAATCATAATTAGCCTTGACTTTGGAAAATATACCACCGCGAATCTATCGCTCATGCGCATAATTATCTTTTCAATCGTAAAATCAGTCAATCATCGGTGCGCACGTATTTGCCACGATTGATAAACGATTGTGTGATATATATATACATACCTTGCCGCGCGACCAGGAACACGTCCCGCCTCTCTTGGATCGACACGCTCTCTTCATGCGCGTCGTCCTATACTGCCAGTCTATGTTGCTTCCCCTCAGCGCTGGTGCAAAAGCTGGCACTTCGGCTACCAGCGGCTCTTCTATTCCCGCTTCCAGCAACAGCACCTGTTGAAACATAAATCACTTGTATGCTCTTGTGTTTACGGACATATTTTTTTTTTTTTTTTAACGCAAAAAAAATAAAAATTCCTTTCGTATTGTGACTCTATCGAATACCGTGCCGAGGCGCGTTTTTTCTCAAACCACAGTAAAACGCGTCCATCGGCGCTCTCTTTGGTTAAAAGCGCGCGTACCTACAATTATACGTGTCCAGGGTAAATCTGCGGAAACGCCACGTCGCAGTTTTTTTTTTTTTTTTTTTTTTTTTTTTTTTTAAGCACAACAAAAAATTGTTGGTGGTGGCGCGCAGTCCGGAGAGTAAAATTCATCGGCATGCCTATGGACTCGCATTCCTGTACGACTTGAAAACACGCGGGAGCTATGCAACTATTTATATCTACTTGTTGTTTTCGCCAAACGCGCAGCTGTGCGGTCACTTTGTTTTTTTTTTGTCTCTTCGATCCTTACAACAAAAAGGGACACTCCACGGGCGCGGTTCGTTAGCCGAGGCGACGAGAATTGTCGTGTAACCTATTTTTTTTTCTTTTTAATTCTTTTTGCTTATCTGGAATTGCGTAAGTTTATCCTTGTAAATTACTCTTTCCTTTTTTTTTTTTTTTTTTTTTTCTTCTTCACCCGGCGATCAGTTTTCCCGAGCACGGCTGGTTGCTTCATTGTGAACGGGTGTACAGGTTCATGTGACGACTTGCGGTGTATCGTTTTCACACTCTCGCGCTTTCCGAGTCATCCCGATGTAAAATAATGTACACCACGGGAATTATACTTTTTTCGGAAACAACGACTGCTTTCCCATGCACGTTTGGAGGGGGAAAAAAAGATAGTAGTAATTACACACCTTTCACTTCCAATTTATCGAAAAAGGAAAAAAAATCTAGTTATTCATATCGCGATCGTGTATGAAAAGTATGTGTCTGACATAACGGACTCGAGCCCGAGATAATGCGAGCGCACCGGTTATTACGAATTATCGGCTCGAGAAAACGCAAAATTTCGCCCAACACACGAGCTCCTTGAGCTTTTCTCTTATTCCTGATCCTATACATACCTGAAATTGTTGTGTAAATATTGCGGTTATATCTGCAATTATTACGTATAAGCATTATTTTGTGCTACTGTACTCACTTATATACCCTACAATCACAATCGTAAGTGCTTATTATATGCATTCCTGAATTTTTAAACATGGTTTATGCTTAAAACATCCAAAAGATCATCTGTGTGCGCCGTACACTATATTATTCGGGTATATGATTATTTTTTTTTTCTTTTTAAATTATGTCACACGGCGCACCAAACTCTCTATTCCTTCATTGTCCGACAATACGTGTATGTATGAATGTATACAACTTGGCGCTCCAATGGAGCTGAAAATCCAAAGGCGTTGGAATTGCAAAACGACGTGCACCTATACTCCATGAATGTATAAACACGTGATGCGGATGCATAGATTATAATATTACATCGGCCGCGTGGGAGGGGTACAACTTTAGCAGCAAGATATCTGCGTGTATATGTATAGCTCGCGGAAATCGACTTTTGCTGCTCGCGTTGAAAATCACCGCGGTCTCTCGCTTTTACTCCGATTGATGACTCGAGCCTTTCAAAGGCTAGTAACTACGTTGTATCAGGAAATCCGATTATCGCTCGTTTCCCACTTTTTTTTTTTTTTTTTTATAGATAATTCTATTTACGCAACAAAAACAGTTTGAGAGAGAGAGAGAGAGAGACGTGCGTGACGGTTCTGTTTATATAAATACAACACCAGTTTAATCGAGGCGATGATATACACGCTGTTTTTATATATCTGTGTGTTCAACTTTTAACCGCCGATGCGGCTCTGCTGATTAGTCGGGCTTAATTGATGGTTTTCCATCTTGATTTTTCTTTTATTTGCTTATAATTTTTTGTTTCCCGCATGCAACGCTTACCTTTCCGTAAACGCACTTTCAGTGCGCGAAAGCAAGTGCAGCTTGTTTTATGTACGATATTTCTTTTTTTTCTTTTTCGTTGTACAAAACAAAAGCTTTTACTATAAAGCTGGTTGGTAATTGGTAAATTTTTTTTTTTTACCGAATTTAAAAATTAAATTTGAAACCGTGGCTGGTCCCGTAAGGAGCTCCAATGTAGTATAAATACAGTACAAAGTCGAGTGCAAGTAAATGTCATGCACTATCCGGGTAGCGTTACCCAACACGTGCTTATACATGCAAAGATCTCGTGATTTACTGCCGAGTGAATGATAAAAATTCGATTTTCATAGTTAACTCGCCCAAGAGACCGTACACTTTCACGCTGTATATTTTCTGTTCCCCCCCTTGTGTCTTAAATGACAATTTTGTCATTTATCGTGCCAACGTAAAAATCAGCATAGCCCAAACTCTTTTTTTTTTTTGTTATAGAAAAATAAAAAAATCAAACTCGAACCTTCCAATGGCCGATCTCGCTGAGCCGATTGGCAATGACGCAACCAGCTGATCCAGCCCCGACCACGATAAAGTCGTACTCCTCGGCGTGCGAATCCACGGGCTCGGGAAAGACGGCCCGCGCTGCCGGGGGCGCGTACTCCTCGTTTTCATTGTTCCAGTTGTCGTGAAAGTAGCTCCGCGGCTGCGGATCAAAGGCCGTGGCACGGTGGTGATAATGAGCTATTGGAAAAGCCTCGGGTTGCCCATAGACGCTCGTAGGTTGGGGCGAAAACTGCCGGTACGTAGGCTCGAGACGCTTGCCGAAGTTGGAGCTGTAGTAGTGGTGCAGGGAGTTGTAGTAGGTGACTGGTTTTACGACCTGCCGCTTGATCCTCTGCGCATATTTTGCTCGTGTAAATACTTTTAGCAGTGTTTGTAACAAATAACATGGTCGAGGATAGTGAAACGTTTACTGTGTCATTAGAGAATTGGGACCAAAAAAATGGTACATAATGGCCCTTTGTTATAAATGGTTCAGAATGGATCTGAGGTATAGGAGAAATTGGCTCTTTAAAATATACATCACCAATCAAACTGTTGAATTTGTCATTGTTTTCGTTTAATTTTACAAAAAAGGGCAACGTAGACGGACACTTTTTTGAGCGATAAACAAGAAAACTTGTGCTCGCTTACCAAAGACTGTTCGAAATATTGGCCACTTCCGTAGTAGTCGTGGGACTGATAACTTCGGTCCAAATTGTTGCTAAGCGCTACCGGAGTGGTCGTTCTGCCAGGACCGAAAGGAGCAAAGGACAAAAAGTCACTTTCCGGGCGAACTCCGCGCGCAGGGCTGTCGAGAGAGTAGCCGAACAGGGTCGCCAAAAAATTCATAAAAAGCATCACTGGTGGCTGACACGTCGAAACTTGACTGTAAGGCGGGCAGAGCTCTGCCAAGTTCGGCGGGATCCAAGACATTTTGTAGCTGCTTCAATTTTTCGGATTTTTTTTTATTTGAGGTGACGTTCCGTCTTTTGCGCTCTTTGGACTCTTGAGCCGTATCGCGTCAAATTGATGAGCTTGAGTTGAAGGTTGATTAAGGATTAAATTATTATTTGATGAATATAGTAATTCTTCCAGTTTAGTTGATCAGTGAGTAATCATTTTTTTCAAATGTTTTGCATGTCTTTGTTTACGAAAAACATATTTAATAAAGATGGCTTTATTGAGAAAAAAAAAAAAAAAATTAACTTTTACTATACCTTGTTACGCAAATGTTATAGAGAAATTAAAAAAAAAAAAAAATGTACTCACTGCATTGTTTGTTGAGAGAAAATTTTGTCTAACAAGCCAGACGAAGGCGCCAGGCAATAATGCATTATGTTAAATTAAAAAACCAAGTCTTAATTTCGTTGCTCCGTAAAATCATTTCTATGAAAGTGCATTAAAATTTAGTCGTTTAAAGTAGTTGGATAATCACTAATATCTACAAATAAAAATTTAATGCAATGCCACATTATACTGCAAACAATTGTAAAATGCAAACGAGGTATTTGTTATTATCGATCAAATCATGTAATGTAAAAAAATTTTATTACACTTGGTAGAATCAGTAACTTTTTCCAAGGACTTTCCCACGGAAATATCTCTGTACGGGTAAAGTTATTTGTTTGTAACAACGCTTTTGAAAAAAAAAATTTTTATGTTCATTGCCTAATTTTACGGTATGTCAATAAAACCACGACTCGTAAATTCGTAAGGAACGCGGTATAACTGTCACGACGAAATGAAAGGCAGCTCAAGGAACCGGAGGCCACCACTAAATTGTGTAGAAGGTACCTATTTTGAATAATTCTTTACACAAGAGGGTTGGGAATGATAATGTGATTTGCGTAAATACCGGAGCAATCCACGATATTTGTGCGACAAAATCATCTTCAATGCTGATAAGTACCAAAAGCAAGCGATCACTATAATCTCACGTGCCACTCAATGATTAAACAACACAATAAAAAAAAAAAAAAAAAAATATTCGACCACAAAGTCGCCAAATCGCTACCTAAGGTAGCACTCGATGGCTCTTTCACTTGGCAGTGTTGCTGGACACTATCGAAATGTAAAACAGCAGGCCCCGACCGAGCCCAAACTCTCCGAACCACGAGCATTCGAGCTTCGATCGCGAATGGCACGGAAGGGGAGAACTGCAGGGAGTGATAGTGAAATGTTTCGGCGTGGCAACACTAAAATACTATCTCGCGGGTGGGAAACGCGGTTGTAGGTATACAGATACGCTTACGCCTCAAGGTTATATATGTACATCGTGAGAAGGCGTGTGTAATTAAGGAGGTGCATCACCCTCTTTCTGTTTCTCCCCATTTTTTTTTTTTTTTTTTTTTTTTTATGTGAAAAGTTATGTCAGTAGATTCACAGGAGGCGATAACATTTTAATAGGTATATTTTTCCTAATGACTGGTAGACGTGTAGGTTTTATAAAGATCCGGTTTACGGTAGACTTTGAAAATTGAAAGCTAGTTCCGGATGATTATAGCTTTCGTTTATATTGCACAACTAAGGGCGATCGGTAGTTTACTTTTCCTATGACCAACAGGAGTCATGCCTGCCAATTGCAAAATACAAATCTTGTTAGGAATTAAACACATGACGTGGCCGATTATTTTCGTTGACTACCTCTCTTTTCGCGTGTCGCAAGCCGATGTAATAAGTGAGCACTGTTGGGCCTACTTTTACAATCAGAGCCCGTATCGTTTGAAATTGAATACACGGAATTGAAAAATTGTAGGTATGTGATAGCGAGAAATATTGTAGATGCGATGTTGCATAATTTTTGGTGACAGTTGGATAAAACCTTTTTCTGAAGTTAATTAACTAGATAATATTGCGGTATGTAGATAAGTTCTTACCGTAGAAACTATTTTTTCAATTCCAAAGCAATTGTTGCTACAAGTTATAAATGTTTTTATGAATTGCCATTAAAATGTAGGTAGCTGGCTAGTAAAATTCCTCGTAAATTAGCATCACAAATTAAAAAGTAGTCCCGCATGTATATTTAAATTTGTACACTCGCTTAATATCAATAAGATGTAATAGCAACCCTTACAACTTTCACGATAGCATACTCGTAGTACATAAATCATTGCGATTTCAACTAAATTTCAAAAATGTATTAATGTTGGCTGAAACAAGTATATGCATAACAAAGTCGTCAAAATTTCCGTGCTAACCAGTTCATTCACGGAAGCAAGTTATTCAATTTAGGACATAGTTATACGTTCACTAAAACTGCTCGTAGAAACTTTTTGCAATTTTCTCTAGACTGGCAAATCGATCACGTACATGTTCTTTTTTCTTTTTCATTCCAAATTTTTTAAAGTAACTTCTTCACAACAAGTTAGATAAGTCTAGTAAAAAAAGCAAGGTACACCATTTATGGTATTTAAATTGTAATAGAAAGTCTAAAAGTGCACTAATTAAGCCTTTGAGACGTGTTAGTACGGTGGTTGAAAAAAAACTTTTAAAATTGACACTTTCGTGTACCTCAATCAAAAGAAAAAAAAAAAAAAAAAAAATTAATCTCGTGCTGTTATATGTTACCTCATCTGCTTTTTAAACAAATTTTTATATAAATAATACACTATGTCATGATAGCAAATTGAATCTCGAGAGTGCATTACTAGCAGTGGCCTATTACTTTATCCTTGTGTATTTTGTTTGACCATGGTTTAATAGCCATTCACTGAAAAAGCGTTTTCACCTTGTTACATATCAAAACATTGAATCTTTTCTGCCACTTGTAATTAAAAACGTTTTGCAGCTACATACGTCTATCCATGCAAAGCAAATGATAAGAAAAATAAAAAATAATCCGTGGAGTTACGTAGAAACCCTTTCTCGCATAACAAGGCCGACAGTCAACTGCCGACAGAAAACGGCGATACGAATACACTTGTTCCCTCGGGTATGACAACGAAAGTAGGTACAGGACGAGAATCACTTAATCAGCATTTAATTTTGGGGCTGCATTCAAGGAGCTCTGTATTTAGTTATTGTAAGTCTTTATTCGTCATCTAGTGATATATCTTTCATGTACAAGACGTTATGCGGTTCCATACTACTGTAATTGGTCTTTTTATCTTTAATGATTTTCAGTAGTTCCAAAATAGTGAACAATATTTTTGGCTGATTCTAATTCAATTTATATTGATATTTAAGATAATATATTTTGGAACTCATAGATTTAAATAGCTATTTTTTTGTGGGAAGTAATACAAATGAGTATACCTGGACAAAGTTACTTGAACAAATTTATTGATTATACATTTATGTACATAACGATTTCGTCAGCAGTTCAATTCTTGATTCAATTGTTTTTAAGCCTCTAAAGTGTACAACTTAGTTTTCGTACCTAATAGTGCATGTCACCTATAGGTAAGTAATAGACCCAAGGGACCCTTTGTGCTTGCCCTGGATGGATGCACACCAAGTACCAACTCTATTTTTTTTACTGAGAGCGTAGTCAACGTTCAAAGATTAAAAAAAGCCCAAAATAGAAGACAAACACTACAGTTCAGTTTTTACCGTCCACTCCTTCTTTATCATATCAGCACCCTTCTCGGCTATCATCAAAACTGGTGCGTGTGTATTACCACTGGTGATCTCTGGCATAATGGAAGCGTCGATTACACGCAACCCTTCAACGCCATGTACCTTCAAATGATTATCAACGACTGAATGTTTACTATTCGGTCCCATTTTGCAACTTCCCGTTGGATGGTAAGCGGTAGAAGTTGTATACCTCATGTTACACTCCCAGTATTCTCGAGAATCTGTTGGATATGCTGCACAGCCGGCAATGTTGAAACGATGTAGTTTAGCGTCTAAATCTTTGAATGGTTTCGTCTTTAGTAGACCACGAGCTATGTCTAGTCCTTCGAGCATCTGGTCGATATCCTCTTGATTATCCAAATAGGTCGCGTGAATTTCAATTTGATCTTTGGGATATTTACTTTTTAGTTTTAACTGTCCTATACTTTTAGGATGCAGTAAAATCGAGCCCACTACTATGCTGTCAGATTCCAAATTGAGTTGTAGCATGTCAGACACCAAATCCTCCGCAAAGTTAAAGGCTCTCCCGACTGTGGCTATTTTTTCTGGTTGGTTTTGTGGTATATGGGCAAAATGGAATTGGATATTGCGATAGTTAGCATTTTGATTTTTAGTATTTAAAAATCCAAGGAGATCTGTACCACCTACCGTGGAGAATTCTCCTTTACGGTGCAATAAGTACTCGTACGTCCAGTCTAATATACGCTCTTGTGTATTAGAAGCCTGGGTGCTTTTGTTTAAGAACGTCAGGTAAACTCCCATCCAAATCAAGTGGTTCTGCAAATGTTTTCCAACTGGAAGATCGCCAACCAATTCTACGTTATGGCGCTCCAGTTCTTCTCGGGGTCCGATACCTGACAGCATGAGGATATGTGGAGAAGCGAGTGCTCCCGACGAAACTATCACTTCTTTCTTTGCCTTCAGCTCCACTTGTTCACTCTTTAGTGTCACTTTTACACCAGTGGCCCTTTTTCCAGCCATCACTACTGAATCCACTCTAGCTGACTTCATAACGTAAAGGTTACTCCTGTCCCTAATCGGATTGAGATAGGCCTTGGCGTCGTTCTGGCGAACCCCGTTTTCCAAAGCACCATAAGCCTTGCCAAATCCAATATTCTCTTCTTTGTTGAACATGTCCAAGACCGGTATTCTCAACTCTTTGGCTGCTTCGAGGAGCAAATCCTGGGCCCCGGACACCGAGTAATTGTAAGGCCTGAGCGTAAGTGGTCCTCCAGTTCCAAATGTACCACCGTATTTGGCAACTACCTCTGGGTGATAATTCTCGATCTTAAGGAAATATGGGAGCACGTCCTCGTAGCCCCAGCCATCATTGCCCTGATCCTTCCAGCCATCAAAATCTTGTTTAGTGCCTCGAACGTATAACATCCCATTTATTACCGAACTGCCTCCAAGAGCCTTGCCTGTGGGCCAAGAGCAGCGCTTGTTTCGCATACCCAGGCATGAATATTCGTTTGGCTCTACTTTATAGCCGTAATCCTCGGGTGTATGCTGAAGCAGCAAAAACAGGCCAGGAATATCGCTTGTGAGCGAGGGGTCATCACCTCGTTCGACAAGAAGGACACGCCAGTTGGGATTCTCGGTCAGACGATTGGCCAATACTGAACCAGCTGAGCCACCCCCGGCTACTATGAAGTCAAAGTCCAGGTTTTGATCGAGAATCTCTTGGGTACGGTCGGCCGGGTAGTTGTGCTGGCTCTTTATAGAGCATTGAGCGACCAATAGGGCCTGAATTAGTTGAGTGAACAAAAAGGCTGATGAGTTAGCTGTAGCTGCCGAGGTGCAGGTTTGTACCATACATGACTCCATTGTCTTAGCGTGTCCTAAAAGTAGATTCATATGTATTCACGTGTAGCATAGATTCATTTTCTAGTTTCTTAATTTATTTACTGTACTTTATAAAAAATTTCAATGAGTATTTTATTTAATCTGTCTTTTTAGAACCCTTCAGCTAATTCTATAATAATATACTTGTACATGTACAAATGCCTCGAAAATTATATACACAAAATCAAATGGTAATTGATCTACTCAAGTGTTAGCTCTGAAACAAGACATTTATGGCAGTCTATGTACAGTTCATATCAATATTTGTAAAAAATTGAGTACCGTGTCCAAAAAAAAAAAAAAAATTCAAAACAACAATAAGGGACTTATTAAAAAAACAAACTCGCAGAAACAAAATAAAATTATACCTGTAGCCTCGACTACTGAGCGGATCTTCGTAAAAAAGTGTCACGAGCGCGGAGCGCCAGTAGACAGACAACAAACGCAGATCCACTTGCGTTCTCGACTGCATACGACCGGTAGAACGTACAATACCTGCTTGAATCTGATAAGTTTAATCTCGTACTTTAATTTACCTCGTAATACATGCTATGTATATATTAAAATAGATGTTGACATGTAATTTTCAAGCTTATTAAAGAACACTACGAAAACAAATTAAGTACAGAAATGTATTTTGATATTTAAAGCATCGAAAAAATCTACATGCATCGCACACAGATATACACGCAGGAGGCTATTACGTCCAATGAAAAAAGTACCACAACTCTCATTTTCTATTTGCCGGGTATCTGGTTAAGCTTTATTTTTATTTGCGCCTTCTCTCATCTCGAGTTTCAGTACGAATCAGTCCATGTGATTAAAACACTTTGGTTCGCCTCTGGCATGAAATGAAATCGTAATCTCACCTGCACTAGATCAGCATTACCTGTGTAATTGTATAATTTTATAAGCACATTTTGATATTTGAGATAGTTCGTTTGATTGCTTTCGAGGCGATTTTGTATTATGAACCATATATAAAATTTAATGGAAATTGTTCAAACTAGTTTTTTATTATCAGACACAGCTTCTCCACATGAGTTCATCACATTATCGTTAGAGTGAAAAGTGAAACCATACGTGAAATTAATTTTTAGTATGTAAAACAAATACTGGTCCTAAAATGAGAGTTGATTGACTACTATATATATTACGAATAAAATCGATAAAGTGTCCATGCAATAATTCAAGTAATTTTTATTATGCCTGAATTAAAAAAATATTAACGTTTTTACAATAAAATGTCAAGGTTTACAATGAGAGTAGATTCTTAAAAGGAAAATAAAATTTCCAGCAATTTAGAACGATGTTACTATTATTACCCATTAAATCACTTTACACGTAAATGAGTAACACATGAAAAAATCACTCCGAATAAAAAAACGACAGAGCACAAATGGTTACGCTCGACTTTCCGAACCACAAGCATTCAAGCTTCGATCGCGAATGGCACGGAAAGGGAGTGATGCAGCACAGAAGCTATGGTCGAGTCGAGAGTCATAGCAAAATATTTTAACGTGGCAACGCTGAAATATCTCATGAGTGAGAAACGTACAGCTGTAGATCCATTGATACGCTAACGCCTTAAAGTTGTATACAAGAAATCATATGTAATAAAGGATGTGCACTACACACACATACTCTCTCTTGCTTACCTTATCGGTGATAATTGAATGAAATTTTGCTTAAGTTAACGATGCACGTTATGTACTTCATTACGATATGTAAATAAATTACAATTATTATAGACATTTTTTTACAATTATAGTAAAATTATTGCTGCAGCGGCAAATTACACATATTATAATGTATATTACGAGAAAACGTTTTTATTTACTATTATTGAAATGCTGTTACCGCAAGGCCGTTATAAAAACTATGTTCATGCTGTAATAAGTGTTCCGCTACTACAAAAATCTAAAACAAATAGTTTTTCGCGATAATCTTTTTAATCTGTAACTTTCATACCAGCTTGATGATAAAATACCTCGTAAATATGCATCCCCAATTAGAAAGTGGTCTCGTACACATGTGTTGAAATTTGTATGTTCGCTTAATATCAACAATGCAATGGCATTATTTCATTTTTCTAGGGTAATGAATAATAACATTTATTAGCGCCAGACTTTAATAATTATTGTATTCGATTATTATTACAAGCGAGCTAAATTTTATTTTTGTGTACACAATCAATTCTATTTGAGCATATTATTAAAATGTACAAACTCTTAAAATTTCAGCAAACCTTAAAGGTTGTGAAAAATTTTATGAACCTTAGTTCGAGACAATTATCTACTTACCAGTTATTTAAAAAAATAAATTATTTTATTTATTAAACAGCCATAAGACTATTATAACTGTTCATAAAACTTCTGCAAATTGTACGGACGTTCTTTTTCTCGTTCTTTTTCGTGCCCGGATTTCAAAAGTTACTTTTTTACAAGTTAGATCATTCGAGTGAAAAAAACAAGGCACGCCACTTATAGTTTATAATTTGTAAGAGAAAGTCTAAAAGTACACTAATTAAGCCTTTCAGACGTGTTAGTATGATGGTTGAAAAAAAACTTTGAAAATTGTCACATTCGTGTACCTCAGTTAAAAGAAAAAAAAAACTCAATCTCTCGCACTTTCATATGTTAACTTATCTAGTCTTGAAAAAATTTTTTTATAAATAACACTATATTTTAATAACACAGTAAAACTTGAAGATGTATTTATTATTTGCAGTCACTTATTACTTCATCCTTACGTTTTTTTTTTTCATCATATTCTTATATTCAATTACTGAATAAGTGTTTGTCATTATTGGATATAAAAAAATTTAACTTTCCCTTTCACTTGACAATGAAACTGTTTATTGCTTCGAAAGTGTATCCCAAGAAGGCAAACGATTTGTGAAAAAAAATAACAATAATAATAATAATACGTGGCATTATGAAGAAACCCTTTGATGCGTGAAAAGGCTGACAGTCAACAGAACAAAAATCAATCAGTATTTAATCTTATGGCTTCATTCGAGCGACTGTGTAATTAGTTTTTTGTCTATTAGTTCATACTAATAATTAAGAAACTATATTAGTTATTAAATTATACATTTTAGTTACTGAAACAATTTCACTTACTAAATATTTATACACATTAAAACGACGGTAGTAATTTGATTTATTTATAATTCATGTTAAAGTGCATATACGCGTAAACCCAATGACTTCGATTCTTTAAAGATAGTTTGATTCAGAAATTATCAAAAAATAACCATCCGCATTATAATACATTTTACCATTATAAAGTTTAAAATACAATCGTCTTCAATTACAATGCAATATTAGGTATAGTTAAATGACATAAGCTATTACATCATCGAATTACCGTAATACAATTGTAATATTATGATAAGAGCCTCTAAAATGTACAGGTTACAAAAGTATTACAGCTCAGTTTTGTCCGTCCATTCCTTCTTGATCATATCAGCACCCTTCTCGGCTATCATCAAAACTGGTGCGTGTGTATTGCCACTGGTGATCTCTGGCATAATAGAAGCGTCGATTACACGCAACCCTTCAACGCCATGTACCTTCAGTTTGATGTCGACGACTGAATCTTTACGGTTTGGTCCCATTTTGCAACTTCCCGTTGGATGGTAGACGGTAGCAGTTGTATGTCTCATGTTGCACTCCCAGTATTCTCGAGAATCTGTTGGATATGCTGCACAGTCAGCAATGTTAAAACGATGTAGCTTAGCGTCCAAATCTTTAAATGGTTTCGTCTTTAGTAGATCACGGGCTATGTCTAGACCTTCGAGCATCTGGTCGATATCCTCTTGATTATCCAAATAGGTCGCGTGAATTTCAATTTGATCTTCGGGAGATGTACTTCTGAGTTTTAGCTGTGCCTCAGTTTTGGGATGCAGCAAAGTCGTACCCACAATTATGCTATCGCACTTCGAATTAAGTTCAACCATTTCGGCGATCAAATCGTCTGCAAAGTTAAAGGCTCTTCCAAGTGCGACTGTTTTCATGGGCTGGTTCTGTGGTACGGGCACAAAATGAAACTGTAGATTAGGATACTTGGCATTTGGATCTTTGGTGTTGACAAATCCAAGAATATCGACACCACCTGCTGTGGAAAGTTCTCCCTTACGGTGCAACAAGTACTCATACGTCCAGTCTAATATACGCTCTTGTGAGTTAGAAGCCTGGGTGCTTTTGTTTAAGAACGTCAGGTAAACTCCCATCCATAATAAATGGTTCTGCAAATGTTTTCCAACTGGAAGATCGACAACCAATTCTACGTTATGGCGCTCCAGTTCTTCTCGTGGTCCGATACCTGACAGCATGAGGATATGTGGAGAAGCGAGTGCTCCCGACGAAACTATCACTTCTTTCTTTGCCTTCAGCTCCACTTGACGTTCACTCTTTAGTGTCACTTTTACACCAGTGGCCCTTTTTCCAGACATCACTACTGAATCCACTCTAGCTGACTTCATAACGTAAAGGTTACTCCTGTCCCTAATCGGATTGAGATAGGCCTTGGCGTCGTTCTGGCGAACCCCGTTTTCCAAAGCACCATAAGCCTTGCCAAATCCAATATTCTCTTCTTTGTTGAACATGTCCAAGACCGGTATTCCCAACTCTTTGGCTGCTTCGAGGAGCAAATCCTGGGCCCCGGACACCGAGTAATTGTAAGGCCTGAGCGTAAGTGGTCCTCCAGTTCCAAATGTACCACCGTATTTGGCAACTACCTCTGGGTGAAAATTCTCGATCTTAAGGAAATATGGGAGCACGTCCTCGTAGCCCCAGCCATCATTGCCCTGATCCTTCCAGACATCAAAATCTTGTTTGTTGCCTCGAATATAAATCATCGCATTTATCACCGAACTTCCACCAAGAGCCTTTCCTGTGGGCCAAGCGCAACTCTTGTTTCGCATACCAAGACACGAATACTTGTTCGTCTCCACTTTATAGTCATAATCCTCGGGAGTATGCTGGAGCGTTAAAAGTAAGCCGGGAATATCACTTGTGATTGAAGGGTCATCACCTCGTTCGACAAGAAGGACACGCCAGTTGGGATTCTCGGTCAGACGATTAGCCAATACTGAACCAGCTGAGCCACCCCCGGCTACTATGAAGTCAAAGTCCAGGTTTTGATCGAGAATCTCTTGGGTACGGTCGGCCGGGTAGTTGTGCTGGCTCTTTATGGAGCATTGAGCGACCAATAAAGCCTGAATTAGTTGAGTGAACAAAAAGGCTGATGAGTTAGCTGTAGCTGCCGAGGTGCAGGTTTGCGCCACACACGCTTCCATCGTCGTTAGGATTCCTGAAATTGGATTTATATGTATTTTAAGGGTATTTTTTTGTATTGACCAATAAATTTGTATTACGATGTTTTTAAATCTGCCCTGTTAGAACCTTATAAAGCTACTTCTTTAATCGTTAAGTTGCATTTATGCAAGTACGGCAAAAATTACTCATATAAAGTCAAGTGGTAACTGGTCTACATATACAGTAGCTATAGGATAAAACACATTCATGGCAGTCGGTTGTTCACCTTTCTCTCAACTTCAATAGTCCCAGTCAGTACATACAGCTGCACTGTAAGCGCACGTGCTTAATCTATCGAGCAATGTTTGCGCGAAAGAGCCGCACACGCTCTACTGGCTCTACATACTTACTCTTCATAAGCTTCCCTCGCTCCACCGAGTACTTACTTCAACCGGAGTCGAATGCACTCCATCCCCTCTCTCCCTCTACCTTTAACTTTCTATATTCACAGGCTTAAGCGTATAACAATTTGCTCACCCGATACACGGGTATTCTCGAAAGTCAATGTACCGAATGATAGTATTATCGTAATGATGATAATGGTGGTAACGCTACCTTCAGGATTCATTGGTTTTTCTGGGCTATTACTTCATTATCGTTTCAGTGAATTTTTTACCGCTCCTGTTATAATTGAATAACTGCGAAACAACCATATAGCTATGCAAGTTCCATTTTTATTTTTTGCAAAATTAGTTTGCCGTCATGAATGTGAATATATTTTCGCATTTTCAGTAACTTATTTGTACATATAGTGTAGTCTACGAATATCGACTATCGTTGTGACAATTATATTACTTATCATAATTTTTGTAACGATATTTTTTGAAGTAATGTATCAATATTTGTAGACGTGAAATTAAAGATACTATTTATTTATATAAAATAAATTTTTTAATTTGCCATTTAATCATAAATATACTTATCGGAATTCTAACAATAAATACCTTCTGAGGGCAATAGTATTTAATGCCTCAGTAGTGTGAATCAGTCTACGAATATAGCATAATGTTATCAACATAAATGTGTGACCGTATAAAATAACTGCCCTTCTGATTGAAAACTTATATCATCTCTTTTTTATAACAGGTTTGTAAAAGTGCCTGAAGCGTTATACAAAGAAAAAAAAATTTCTTAAGTAGTTTTTTCATAATTTATTATATAATTACTGTATGCATACTTGTAAAAGAAAAAAATAAAAAATAAAATGAAAAGTGTTCTGCCAATTAATTGGTAAATTTTTCTACGTGATTATTACTTGAAAACTGACTCAGCTTTTTGTTGAACAAAATACTTTAAAATTTTTATTGCTTATTGCGTCATATTATCATACTGTTTATATCTACTTTCACGCTTATCTCCATTTTTTGATTTTCGACGCTGTTCAAGCTTCGACACTCCCTTCGCACTGGGATTTTTAGGCTTATTTCGTTTTTTTATGAGAAAGTTCTTTTGACATATGTTTTGTATGATTCCAAAAAACCAACATTTATAAATTACGCACATATGCTTGGATTATTACTGTGGCATTACAGACAAATTGATTACTGCTTAAATAGCCGTATCAAACGTGATATATTTGTTGTATCCTCAATAACTGTTCTAGCATAGTTAATTTTATAGTAGTACAAGCAATAAAAAGTCCAGTAAGTTGCTAAGTGATGAGTTGCAGAACGAGAATAAAGCTGACATTCGTGAAAAAAAAAAAAAAAAATTTAACTGATTAGAAAATACTGTAAAAATCTTTCTTTTCCTAAATTAAACTCTCAAAGAACTCTTTTGACTATTTATAAGCAACCATTTATTGAGATATTTTCCACTCTAAAAATTTCTTGAATTTAATTTTGTTTTGCAATTTCATGTATTGAGACTAGAGATAACTAAATATTCGAAATTTTTTATTTTGTTTCAGGTGAGTGGAGAAGGCGATGATTTAACGCCTCAATTCCGTGCATGACATAATAAAATTCACCGAGCAAAGGGCAAAAAAAATACCATAACTGACAAGTTAGTAAACGAATTTATAAAACCAAGTGTTGGAACAGTATTATCATTGCAAAAAAAAAAAAATAAATAAAATAAAAATACAAATTTTATCAGAAAGCTAGTGAAAACAAAATAAAATCATACCTGTAGCCTCGACTACTGAGCGGATCTTCGTAAAAAAGTGTCACGAGCGCGGAGCGCCAGTAGACAGACAACAAACGCAGATCCACTTGCGTGCTCGACTGCATGAGAACGGTAGAACGTACAACGCCTACTTAGATCCGCGTTTCAGGCCCCTACTTCTCTCTACCTCTTAGTATACATGTGTAAAAAAAGTACACTTACAGATAACAGATTCATACTATTGAATAACTTTAAGATAACGATGCAATACTAAAGTGTACTTCGATATTTGAAGCATTGCAAAAATCATCATATATCGCACATATACATACGCAGGGTGCTGTAACGTGCAGTGGTGGGGAAACCGCGACTCTCATCTCCCATTTGATCGCTGTCTGGTTATGCTTCTTTTTTTTTGTCTTCTTTTTTTTGCATCTTCAAGAAATGACCTTCTCTCTTTTTGAGTTCTACTTGTCATCACGAGTCCATGTGATAAAGACACTTTGGTTGACCTCTGACGTGAAATAAAATCGTAATCTAACCTGCACTAGATTGTCATCAACAATGCGATTGCATACTGTTATAAACACATTTTGACAATAGTAAAGTTTGCAATTGGAGTAGTTTCGTAATATAAAAAAAAAAATCGCAGTTTTTTTACTGCCAAGGTAAAATCGAAAAAAAAATTTTAAAAATCCGATTCTTTCTCGATGTAATTTTGTAAATCATCGTATTATATAAGGACGTTCCAGATGAAAGTTATAAATCTCAATGAAATACAAATTTTTATAAATACAAATGTTAAACTTTAAAATAAAATAAAATCAATTAAAACAGTCCACAATAATAAATCGAATTATAAATAAAACCGATTCAATTTATTTTGCTGAAGAATATCTAATGTTAATAATTACTCAAGTTGGTGTGCAATCATGTTATTTATTCATATATTTTATTAAATACGTGGATTGTTCAGACGGAAGCTCATAGGCTAAAGGCTACACTAGAAGCCTGTATTTTTCCAATAATAAACATCAACTAATAACCTTTTAACATTGATTCATAAATAATCAAGGCTATAATTGAAGGAATTTATTTCTAATTATGTTGAAAAACGTCTAATTTTTAATACAAAACATTAAAAGTTGTACATCAGAAACGCTTTTTACAGTTACAGTTTTTCTCCACAATGTCATCTAAACAATAAAAATTGTTGTTAATTCATTAAAAAATCGTTTCACAGCAATACAACTAAGTTTTAGTGGGTATTTCAAAATAAAGTGGTAAGCACGAAATTTAAATATTTTTTGAAAAACAAGATTTTTTAAGAATATTATGTACGATGAATTACATTTTTTTTCTCCAGCGGTAAATGCATGGTTTTCAAAGATTTTTTGTATTTTTTAATATAAATTCATTGTAACGTGATAAATAATTTTTTTGAAGTTACAAGCCTCTAATTCTCTACTCACTGACTGTTGAGCTATTCCATTGAATTTCTAGCTTAAATTATACGTCTAACGCTCGAAAAACTCGTGCCATTGTGGGATAATTTTTTCTTTTCAAAGAAAACTAGACACGAACTTATCATAAGAATGGTATTATGCCACCGAATACATAAATGAAAAAAAAGGTTGAAAGACTGTTCTGAACATGAGTATAGAAGCGAAAAATTCTTACGTCCAATCCGATGTTTGTTGAATTATGTCAAGGTTCAGAAGTTGTGCGCATAAATTTTGAATTATTGATGAAGTGTCATCTTATAACTACACTAATCACGGAAAAAAGCAAATTTTTGATTGAATTTTTTTTCCTTCGGGGGGATATATTTATCAAAGTCATTTTTTACAAAGTGTTATGTGAATTATTTATTCGTGCTCATTGCAAGATCCACATATAGCCATTAATGACAGTACACTGGATAAATACACGTTGGGTTGAAGACGATTAAAAAAAAAAAAAAAAGAAAAAAAATCAATCAACACGCGCAAAGAAATCATAGTCTCTCGCGTAAGGGGCATAAAAAAAATACGCCATCGACATTTCGATCACACAAGCACACTGAAAAACTTACAGCTACAATATAAATATATATCGGGCTACCCATCAGGTATACAGTGTTCGTGATATCCGTACAAGATATGTTTCCACCAAACTGTCGATAACCTCGAAAAAAAACAAAGACACAGTATCCTCGCTCAGTCAGTCACAATGAAGATGATCCTGCGGCGCCAGCGCGGCAAAATCAAGTGTCCTATCCGTGTCTCGGCCTGGGAGGATTCCACGCCGCTTGGATCATGTCCGCGGCTTTTTCTGCCACGGCGACGATGGCCGCCACCGGGTTCGCGTTGGTCAGCACGGGAAAGATCGAAGCATCGGCCACTCGGAGGTTGCGCACGCCGAGCACTCTCAGCTCGGGATCGACGACACTGCGAGGATCGGTGCGCGAGCCCATGCGACAGGTTCCGGATTGGTGGTTCTCGGGACCGGTTTGCGCCCGGATCAGGCATTCCCAGTAAGCGTCCGTGCCGAAGTAATATCTTCAACAAGAGAGAGAGAATTGCACGGTGTGCTGGTGGTAGGAGAGAGGCAAGGTCGCGCGAGTCGAGGAGAAGAGAGATTTTTTTGTTGGGGGGAGCCGTATTGGTAGAGAACTGCTCGTACGTATGTATATTACAGCTTGAGTTTTCCCGATGCGTTTTTGTTTGAAAAAATAAAAAATAAAAAAAAAAGATAATTACCATCTCTGGAGAGAGAGGTAATTGTGCTTCGTTCTTTGTAGCTTGTCCATAAGTAATCAAATATTCGTATGATATACATTGATACGAAATTATCCTGCATCTGATGATTATTTAAGAGCGATAAAAATCTCTCTGTGTAAGTGTTGAGTAATTTTAGGTAATATTACTTTTGGTTGCGATGGTATGTACCATTTACCACAAATCGTTTTACTATCAATGCTATTATAGAAAACTCTGATTTTTGTTGTTTACAAAATCCATGGAATGATTTTGCGTGGAACGCGAAATTTACGATAATGTTCATGAGATGATAATAAGCATGCCAACGAGAGCATTTTTTTTTTTCATTACATCGTTAAATCCCGACCAATTTTACAAACATGTAATTAATATATGATAGCACAAAAAAAGACACAAATCAGATGTGCAATAGTTGAACTTATTTCGTTACGCGAGTAATTTAATTTCATCCACCCGAGTGACGCAAGGAAAAAAAAAAAAATTGACCTACCTCGAGCACCATGGATGGGGCGTTTTGTCCACCTTCATGTCCCACCTCTTCAAAGTCTGGGTATCGGTCATCTCGACGATTTTCTTGACACCCTCGATGAGCACCCTCATGTCTGTCTCGTTAGTAAAGTAATTCGGATAGATGAGCGGATGGTCCAACGGATCGCTCGACCTGAGGGTGAGGTAACCGCGACTCCTGGTCTGGACGACCGTGGGCCTGGCGACGATTTCCCGCCGTGCGGGACAGGTGCCGAGGGAGCCGTCCTTGCACTCGATGTCCAGGCCCGTGCGGGCACAGGTCGAGCTGAACCCATCGAAGAATACCTGAACGTCCGGGACGCCGCGCTTCGTGTAGCTGCTCTCCAGGAAGGCCGTCACTTGGGTCAAGCCTGTACTGGACATCGGGCCCGTACGCCTCAACAGGAACTCGTTCACCGAGTCCGTCGACAGAGTCTCGTAGTAGTCGTCCTTTATCGACATCTGAAACGACAGCAGCGATCACTCAGATTAGGGTCCTAAGGGTGTCATCTTTCAACACCTGCACTATCATGTAAATATTCGTTCGGACCTTTACGCCCACGGATACGTGGTTCTGCAGGTTCCTGCCGACCGGCAGGTCGATGATCACGGGCAGGTTGAGCCTTTCGAGCTCCTCCCTTGGCCCGATCCCCGACAGCATCAAAAGCTGGGGGGAGCCTATGGCGCCGGCCGAGAGGATGATCTCTTTGTTGGCGAAGTAGGTCCTCTTGGTGCCGAGCTTGTCGATGAGCTCGATTCCCGTGGCCCGCTTATCCCACTCGTTTGTCCTCACTTGCGTCACGTGCGCGTTCGTCAGGACGTACAGGTTACGCCTACCAGCCACGGGTCTCAGATAGTACCTTGGACAGTAATTGTGGTTTTTAATGTCATACAGCCAAAAAACCATAAAAAATTGGTACTAATTTTGTTTACTTTTTTTTTTTTTTTTTTTTTTTTTTTTTTTTTTTTTTTTTTTTTTTTGTGAAAACTAATGAAGATAATGAAAAAAAAAAAATAAAAAGGGGATGAGCCCACCTTGAGGTTGTGCCCCTCAGTCCGTCTTGGGTGAGCATGGGCGCGACCATGAAGCCCGTCTGTTGGTACTCCTTGAAGTCGGAGGTCCTGTACCCCATCTCGGAGGCAGCTCTCATCATCTCGTTGGCGAAATCGGGCTTGTGCTGAAAGTGATCGATGACGAGGGGGGCGTCCGTGTTGTACCGCCGGAACATCTTATGGTTGGTGAAGACCGATCTGATGGGGTTCTCGGCTTTCTCGAAGTACTTGAGCAGCTCCTTGTAGGACCAGCCGTGGGCGCCTTGGCTCGCCCACTCGTCGTAAAAGTCGGGGTGCCCACGGACGTACATCATTCCGTACATGCCCCCAGTGCCCGAGACCATCTTACCCCGCGGCCACGCGCACACCCCATTGGACTCTGTAACAACGGTACACGTGTATACAACATAAATACGAGGAAGCTCGTGTATGGGTGTACATGTGGTTGTCCAACGAACCCAAACAGGCGGTGGAGTTGGGCTTGGTTGGCTCGGTCTGGTAACGCCAGTCGAGGGACGAGTTGATGGCGTTGAACGCCAGGCCTGGGATCGCGGTGAGCGATGGCTCCTCCGGGCCCGCCTCAACCAGTAGCACCCTCCAGTATGGGTTATCGCTCAGTCGTCTCGCTATTATCGGCCCCGCGACTCCGGCACCCACGACGATAAAGTCGAACCTGTGTGCATTACACATAGATGCGTCCGTAGTAAGTTACCCTCGGTGACATTATTACGTTTGTGTTGGGTTTACCATTGCTCGGTCGGGGGCTCATCGGTGCCGGTACGTCGGCAGGGATCCGAGATGTCGCAGCGTGTCATCATGAGGGTCTGCAGCAGGGTCATGAAGGAGGTGATCCGGCCGCAAGCCACGTTCATGTAGGCAGTGTCGTTGAACCTGCAGTGGCAGCATCCCTCGTTCGTTACGGTGCCGGTGTGACCGTATGGGGAGTAGTTGTTGTCCTTGTAGTTGTTGATGTTGTTGTGGTAATTGTTTGGCTGATTTGTTTTTTTGATAGCGTGCGGTAAACAAGTATTATTTATTATAATATATTGTATAATTATGGGGGAAGTTTTCTTGTACAACAAAGTATGTATGCGCGATTCTGTTGAAACAAAACTCTTGTAGCGTTACGAGAGTGACTATCACGTTTTATTGATGTAGCGCTGAAAAGTTGATCGGCTCCCGAATAAATATTTGAGCATAGATTTTCTTATTATTTATTACCGCGTTTCTTTGCTTTGATCTGTCTTGGATGTTTCGCAAACGCCGAATGATCCCCGATTGTTTATGACGCAACGTATCTTAGAATTTTTTTCTTTTGTTCAATCAGAAAAAAAGAATCTTTTTACAAGCATACAACGACAGCTAAGAAAACTGAATAGTCTTGTTTGTAGTTTCGGGTATAAAAATAATTTGCAAAGTTATTAAATAGGGGAATTTAACAAGTAGAACGAAACAAGATGAATAAAATACTTGTAAATTAAGTATACAGCGACTACCACGAAATTGCGTACATCTTTACAATACATTTAAAATCTTCAGTAAATATTATGACTTAACTAGTATACCTTTTCACAATAAGTAAAAATAAAAACAATTTTGTTTCGACAAGCTTAGTAAATTTGGAAATAAACTAAAAACCTTAACAAGGCTTATAGTGTACTAAAGAGCGCGTATATATTTTCAAGTTAAATCAATTTTTTTAAACCAGTCACGTCACAAAATCTGATTATTTATTTGTTAATTTTTATCATTCATTTATACAATGAAGTTTCACTGTTTAAAAGTGGATAATCACTGATATGCAGAGATATATTTTGCACTTCTTCAATTAGTAAATATTCAACGAAAACAACTGATGTTTTATTAAAAATGATTGTTTTATTTTTATTCGATCGTTAAAAAAAAAAATATAATAATATACGAATCAATTTTAAAAAACTGATTATTTTTTCTATATCTTACATCTGAAACAACACATTAAATAATTTTATGTCAAACTGACTTTGAGATATTGTAAAATATTATTTTTAGATTACGTTTCAAGATAAAATGAAAAAAATCAATCGCGTTAGCGTAAAACAGAACTTATAGTGATTAAGCTATTCTTATCGTCACCTGTCCACTTTCAAAATTGCTCACTTAGCAATGTATGAAGTCAATGAATTGATTTTATTTTTTACCCTCCAGTACATTAAAGTTATCGATTAAACGTACATAACTTGTAAAAACTTGTGAAATAATTTTAAACACTAAATTTTTGTGAAATAGACTATTCCTCCAATTTTAATCCTCAATTCCGTACATAAGAAATTAATAAGTAAAGAAAAAAAAAAAGCTTTTGGTTTCGTAAACACCAGTTATTGTATTTCCATGTTAAAATCCAGCTCACGAACTGTCACGAAACTACTGCAGGTTTTTACAACGATATTACCAATAATGATCACGTATATCGGTGTGTTTCAAAACAGCGCGTGTGAACAATGTCCTATGAACCGCAAACAATCCCGAATACATGGCCGGAACATTAGAAGAAGAAAAAAAATTGTTTACCCTCGAGATAGTTATATATTTACAAATCATGAATAAAACCACACACTTACCTCATAGTGCAAACCTGCGGCCGTCCAAACTCCGATGGCGAGAAAAACCACGGCGACACCCCGTGTCCGAAGTTCCATGTTCCCAATACGTGATTACTGCAGCGCATAAAATAGGTGTAATTTATGTCATTTGTAAGAAACTCCACATATCATGTCACACACACGTGCAGGCGTGCACATCCATATAAATGTACACACCTACCGCGGTGCAAAGAGATAAAATTTTCCCATCGCGAGAGCCGCGTGAAAATACATTATTATTATTAATCGACTCGTTCGAACAATGGGTATAGAATTAAGCAAATACGATAAAGTTTTCTTCGATGAAAGAAAAATTCACACACAGTCGCTCTTTTTTTTTTTTTTTTTTTTTTGTTGCACCGCGCGGCCGAGGCGTCCTTTCATTATATTTCTTCCCCCACCCTCTCCTGTCTATTGTAAACTGCTGCTCCATTTGCACAATTTAACCAATAAATTTTCAAGCTCCGATGGTATCGCTGAAAAATTACGCTGGCGATCATTTTCCGAGAACCACCACGCAGTTCGCGCCACGAGCGGAAGGAATACATTTTCATCGCGCTTATGAAAGAAAGTCTGTTTCGTCGCAACGGCGTTGCTCCTCTTGAAAAAAAAAAAACTTTGGTAGCCTTTTCACGCAACTGCCATTGGAAACTGTCGGAGGACCCGGTGCATCCGCGATAAGCAAACACAAACGACTCGACGCAGGCTATCACGGATGGGCTTATCGAGTGACAATTTCACTGTTTGTGCGCGTGTACCTATTTTCACTTATGTCAAAAAAAAAAAATGAGCCATTTTACTTGATTATCTTCGGTTTACTCGCGTACAGATTTTTATTGTTAATCAGTAAAACAGAACAATCAAGTTGAAGGTATCAAGATTTTACTTCCTCATTGATTTGATAATGTTATCTCGTCTTTATAGGGTATGCGTAGCGAAGGAAATTTAAATCGTGTTATTACTGTAAATATACTGCATTGATAATATTAAAAACAGAAATTCACTGCAAAATCCACTTACACGTGTCCCGAGGAAAAATGCATAAATTCTTCCTGTGAGGGAAATTTAAAAAAATTACTCCGTCGACACCGCAAAATCAGAAAAAGAGACGCTCGCGAGACAAAAAAAAAAAAAGCAACTTTCGTCTTACGAGAAACAGATAGACGAAAACCGAAGAAAGTGGCCCAACTTTTTTTTTTTTCCTTTTTTTCCGTCCAGCGGGCTTCGAAGTTCGAAAGACACTTCCGGCGTAAACCTGATTTTGTACTGAAAGTTCCGACAGAAGCGACCGAGAGCCGTAACCGTTTAAGCGCCAATGAGGATTCAACCGACCGAATATTACATCGCCAGCCCACTATATGACTTGGATTTCATGAAAGGCTACGCGATAAAAAGCTCCCCCTCTACTTGCCGCGTGCGTTCGCGCTTCTTTTTTTTTTTTTTCTCTCCCGTTGCCGGCTTGTTACTCCTCTTTGACTGTTACATCCACGCGAAATCCCCCCAATTATCCAACGGCCCCTCGATGAGCTTTCTTTTCGGGTTTTATCGTCTGTTGTGAAAAATCCTCGTCCTTGGCGGTCGCTCCTGAATTTTCGTTTTTACAATCCAAGCTCGCGAGTAAATTACACTACTGGAGCAGCTTACGTATGGATTTGCCCGAGACTTGCGACAGACGAGTACATGTAGCTTCCTACGCAAGCCTTACACAAGTCTTGGGCAAGGCAGCTTGCAATGTTCGGATACACTCTTTTAGCAACTTTTGTGGCAGACGTACACGACAGAATAAGCGAGCCTTAAATTACATTTTCGTAGAACTCTGCTATCATTTTGCAATTATAAAGAAAGAGATCGATCCATTTTTTTTTTTTTTTTTTTAAATTATCAAGGCGTCCTTTACTCTTAGCCCCGCTGCACAATGATGCAAAGAAGAAAATAAAGAACATTTTACAAATGTATCGGAGAAAGGGAGAAAGTGAGGAATAATCATTCGATCAAACATGGTAATTTAAATTAATGCAATTTCACAAGCAGCCGTGCAAAAAATTTGCGTAACGCTTGCATAAGAAGCTGGCGCACTCATATGTAGCAAATCTGTCGCAGGTGTGCTTGAACTTTACAAGGAGCCTTGCAAAAAAACTTACGTTAGGTTTACATAAGTATCTGGCTCTCAATCGTTTGTTCGGAATCTTCCGGAAATGTGTACAAGATCAAGAGCTTATAACCCATATTTTATATTTATTAGAATTCAAATGAAGAAATCACGATGATAGAGTACTCCAACCACACTACGAGAAAAATTTAATAAAAATTACTGTGCTGGAATGGTAATCTGGTGTCATCCCGCCGTCTAGGCTGGAATAAAATTATTGTTCCAATAGTAAAAAGTCTCCAGACACGACCAAACACTACCAGATTACCATTCTACCACAGTAATTTTTATTATATTTTTCTCTCAGTACACATATAGATAAAGTTAATGAAATATAATTTTAAACAATGAGGTATCAGCGTAAAGTATGAAAGTGCAATAAGAAAAAAAAGAGCCAATGACTATTCAACAATTTACGATTTATGACTTTTTAGTTTTGGATAACAGCACACGTAATTTATTGATAAAAATAAAAAAAATAAAAAAAATAAATAAACAAAAAGGTTTCAGAATTACCGTACAACACAATCTGATCGATCAATCAAAAATTAAATCTTAGTAAATTCATGAAATCAAAAGTACTTTCACAATTGAAACCCCTGTGGGTTGGGACGTTACGTTTTTTTTTTTTGAACGTCAGATCGATACGGCAACTCGACGTTAGTCTCAGCCTCGCAGGCGCCTTTCGGTAAATCGAGCTTCCACGACAGCGGCGCCCTACTATACGTTCATCCATGGTATCCTTTTCCGCGATGTCACGATGTTTGGCGTCACTTAGGGGCCTCCCCTCTGTTCCATGTATCCCCGAATCAATATCCTTTTTTAAGGGTGCTTGTTTGGTTGTTTTTTTTTTTTTTTTTTTTTTTTTTTTTTTTTTTTTTTTTTTTTTTTTTTTTTTTTTTTTTTTTTTTTTTTTTTTTTTTTTTCTTCCTGTAGCTAATATAAATTGCATGTGGTTTTTACAATAACCGTCCGGAAGAATCATTTATAAATTTTCCAGATCCGAAAGGCTGTAATGTGCAATCGTTGTTATCGAATCGTTGGGAGTTACGGGGTTCCCGCATCGTTTGAAAAAGTTTTTTTTTTTTTTTTCTCATGGCATCAAAAAAGTGAAAACTTTTCTTGCGCGCCGAGAAAAGAGGAAAAGGCGTTCAAAATAAAAATCAGAGTAACGTGCGGGTGCTTGTTTTGCAAGTGTCCTTCGAATGGCAGATTGTCGTTTAATGGGACACTTACAGAAGCAACGTAACCTGTATTTCAGTCACATACGTGAATATTAACTTTTAGTGATTTTTTTATTTTTTACTGACTGAACATCAAATGCTGATTGTCCAATGTATCATTACAAGATTGTAGGCAAATGAGTAAAAAAAACAATGAAAATGTTTTGACAAGCTGCATGTGTGTGTGTGTGTGTGTGTATACCTGTAACGCATTGTTCAATCACAGTTGGTAACTACAACAGTCATGTCCCCCATGGAACGACTATTTGTACACGTGCTTTGATAAAATTTATCAAGAGACCTCGATTGTGAGGTTGCGTTTTCGTCAGCTAATTTTTGAAGGATCCAACAAAACTTTTGCGGGTATACCGATGCCCTTCCTTCTAGGTAATTTAATGCAAGATAGGCATTAATCAAGTGGGGTAAGCACGGCATAATATGAAGGTAAAACAATATCTAAAACGACGTGACGTAAAGGAAGGACAAAAAAACCCCCAGGCAGTTCAAACGTCAGTTGTAGAAATGGAAAAAAGCCGCAAACACCACTTGTGTTAAACAAGGTGGAACAATAAGAACACTTTATTTTTTCTCAATATTTCACATTTGGCTCTGTTTCGTTCAAATTTGATCTCAGCCTGGGCGATCGAAATCGAAGATCGAACTTACATTTATCGCCAGGACTTTTTCCGTTGTGAGGCTCTGGAAAATAAACCCAACGTGTTAGATGACGTGGTTGGAGTCGCACGCAAATACTCGCTGTATCACAGTCCAGTACATTGCACACGAATTACTCTGTTTTCTTACGTTTTGGGAAATCCAATAGCGAGCAAGTGTTTTCCAATTTAAAAATTCGAATGACTCTTGCTTCTTTGCCGATACTTTTGTTGGGATTCCCCGGCCTTTAGCTCAACGAGGTCGCAGGGTAACTCTGTTTTTGTTTAATGTAGATAATGACATAAAAATATTTTCTAATCGATTCTTTTTTTTTTTTGGCGCATCGAAGGTATTGGTTTGAGAAAAAAATATTATTTTTCCAAGCGATGACCTGCTTTTAAATTGTTCAACTGACCTCAAAAGGATGCTAAACTTTCTATGGAATGATGAGAAATATCAATGGGTCGGTTTTACTTGAATTAGACATTAGCAAACATTGAATTAAACGCGCTTTGAAAAATTTTTCCATGCCGCTAAACGTGTCAAAAACAAGTATGCCAGTCTTGTAATAAAAACCATATTTTCCTTAATATTGAGTTTTATGAAATATAATTTTGTAAAATAAATTGAAAGCAATTTTTAAGTCTTAGTTTTAAAAAATTCCACCAGCTCGACCAAAAACTATTAAACTCCCGTGACTTACGCCAATAACTTACATGAAGAGATGAAGGAAGAAAAAGGGCACGTGTGGTCGTTCCTAGTAATGTGGGCTACTACCTACAGTGCGTGACAATAGAAGAGCTAATAAATTATCTAGGGTTTATGGGAGACTTGGGATGACGAAAATAAAGGGAGCCAACTTTTTATAGAGTACATTACCTACTTCTTCCATAAAGCATACGAGGGTATAAAAATGTGATGATTGTGCTCGAATTCGCGGTGACATTGACTTCTTCGAACTGTCTTGGATTTTTTTTGTGTGTTTCGAACCACATATCAAAATTTTTCGACAACTGAGAAGATAACATTTT